CTTGGTCTGCGTTTCTTGGTCTGGCGATTCCTTACGGCAGCTCACGTAAATCTGCATGCTTGATTTACACTGTTTCTCCTTTTTCTCCGTTTAGCCCCCATTGCCAGCCATGCTCTTGGCCTTGTTCTAGTCGCCGTTGCCCGCCACTTTGAAAACCGTCCACCAGCTCGAATCGCGACATGTCTGTAAGTTCAACCACCAACTCCAGACCGCGCAACATCCGGTCGCCTTGAGACCTACATGCTCACAGAATTGCGACCTAGGCCAAGGCTGCGAATTATCTCGAGCAGCTGGACAGAGCCCGCTGCGAGGGCAGCTGGAGTGCGGTCCCCGAGCTTGTTCGAAAGGTCCGTAAGCACGCACCGGACCGATCATGTACGATATATAACCCCTCTTCCACCTCCCCGCTACCTTCCGCGGGTGCCTAATGGGCATGTGAAATAGGTCTTGCCATCACTGCAGAGACGGAATGCGCGATATCGAACGCTACACATGCCGCCTCGACCAGCGTCCGACAATCAGGGTCGTCCTCAAATCACCCAGTCGCTGTAAATCTTGACATTGCCACGGTACTTCCCAAGCTCCTCGAATCCATCGAAAACGAGACCCAGCATGTCGAGGATAGGTTTCAGGCTCAGGTGTGTGCGGGTTGGTTGCACTGGGTGGTGGCCGATTACAGTCTTGCACTCGCCCACCTGCCAAGTAGTTTGGACCCCGAGGATATCAATGTTGACCCTGCTGGTGCTATATCGGAATGGACGACAGTGTGTGCGTTGAAGGCGGCATATTTGAGGGCCAATTGCTTGTCCCGTGATGATCAGAGGAAGGCATCTCTGACGGCTTTCCTGTCCGGGCTAAATGCTCTGTCTCGTCTATGGTCTGGCCATGGAGGCCGGAAACAGCTGAGTTATTGGTCCGAGCTATACCTTACTGAGTATTGCATGCTCGCTAGTCAGTCGATCAGAGATGGCGACACGTTGCTGGACGAGGTCAACTCGGTCGCTTGCTTCCGCTCCTGGGCAAAGTACTGGGAGACCATGTCAGCTCCGGCCATTGGTGGTTACGGATTTAGAGGCTCCGTGCCACGGCGCAGAGTTTGGTATGAGTATTATTGGGCTCTTTCCCGGATATTGGCGGAAGACCTCCCTTACCCGACTGGATACCTGGGCAAGATTTCGAACGACATGTCAGCTCGTGGACAGCTGAGGGTCGAGATTAAGAGTGCGGAAGCGGCATACCAGACACTCCTTTTAACCGAAACAACTTTCCCACGCGCCGATGAAGAGCGAGCCGAGGTCGAGGTTTTCGTCCAGTTGGTTGTCAAGAATTGGTCCATTCTGAGCGGCCGGGGATGGCGCGAGCAGGATCTTGGGCAAGGGGGTCGCAACAGTCTCACTCGAGGTGTTCTTGACGTTCTCTACAATGCAGCACAGAAAACCTATCACTCTACAGCCATTCTACGTAGCCTATTCGTGGCCCATCTTGCCGTGGCGGAATTCGATCTAGCTTTCAAAGCATTCGACTCCTATCTGGACATTGTCAAGAAGGGCAAGGTGCGAGTCGATAAGACTGGGGAGGCAGAAGCAGGCTTGGATGACGATGGGACGGTATTGGAGACAATATCACAGGCCATAATTGCGTTGTGCCGGTATGGAAATGACGATGTCATTGAGAAGGCTCGCCAGCTTGGGTCTGAGCTGGAAGATTGGCTGGCCAGGCTGCCTCAGTTCAAATCCTCGGACAGTGTCGGTAGCCCAACCATGGTAAATGGGCACCCGAGCGAGTTGCACCCTCCAATTGCACCACACGTTCTAGCTCTCTCGTGGCAAGCCATTGGGCTTTCCCAGGCACATTGGTCAAGGGCCACACACGAAGCTACCTCGCGACCAGAGATCCAAGCACGAGCTATAAGATGCCTGCGCAGATCTCTAGCAACGGAGCTTGGCCGATCAAGAGATGTTAGGAGCTACTTCAGTCTTGCTCTGTTGCTGGCCGAACGGAGAGAGCTGACCACGGCCATCGAGGTAGCTAGGACATCGCTGCTTACTAGCAAGGGAAGGGAAGAGCAGTATCATTTATTACACGGGCCGTATTGGCAGGAACGTTCCCTGATACCAATGTGGCATTTACTGGCCTTGCTTCTCAGCGCCCGGCAAGATTACATTCTGGCTGCGCGGGCTTGTGAAGGCGCTTTCGAGCAATTCAGGGATCCTTCGGTCCTTTTCGGAAAGGGTGATCCTCATTTTAAGAGTGAGCATCTTCAAGAGGCTCACAACCTGGAATCCTCTGAATCTCGAACCGGCCTCGTCGACGAAATGGACGACACAGAGAAGGAGTCTATCTTGGAAGTCAAGATGACACAACTCTCTCTTGTTGAATTACTTGAGGGCCCTGAGGTTGCTGTCAACGCTAGCTACGAGCTGCTGACTCTTTTTTCTCGGCTCTTTGGAAATATCGTACCACAGTCCCTTGCTAACCTCAGCGTCTCCAAGGTCAACGAACCTCCAAAAACAGCAGGCACTTTCCGAAGTATCCGAGGAAGCTTCTTTGGTGGCAAGGACAAGTCTCGGCCAGCAACAAGACAGGCAAGTGTCAGCAACACTGTCGTGAACAATGAGAAGTCTGCCGCGGCTTCTACTAGGCCTGCAACTGCGCGCACAGTTGGCAGCGCAGGGGCTCCAACTATTCAAGTAACCGAGAACCACCAGCCCCCATCAACTCGGAGGGGAAGTACTGGACAAACCCGGGGCCCCAGGAGTGAGTCTGCTAAAGGAGGCAGCTTCAAGAAGCGAGATAGGAGTATGAGTGGGCACAGACGACCTAGCACGGCAGACGTCTCAACGCAGGTAGTTGAAGAGGAGCCATCCCCACCCTCCGATACAGACAACTCCGACTTCTTTTCCACAACCTCCTCTATCAATAGGGAAGTTTCGTCGGCATCGGCGGCCTCGTCATCACGAGGCCGCCCACTTCCCACGTTGAATTCGTTCCTCTCCAACGTTTCCAAGTCTTCTGAGCACGCAGAATCGTCAACCAACGTGACATATACATCCGGCGATCTATTACCTCTGATTCAATTCTCCAGTGATAAAGAGAGAGTGCAAAGGACAACTATATTGATCGGTGTCTGGTTGATGATTGCAGGCTTCTATCGCCGTGCAAGCCTCTATGACGACTGCGAGGGTGCCGTCACGGAAGCAAAGAAGCTCGTCCAAAGCCTGGAGGCTGATAAGCAGAGGGAGCCGTCCGACTCGTCAACTATTAAAGGCGTTGCCTGGGCAGAGAAGAAGAGCATTGAGGATCTATGGGGTGACGTTTTTGCAGAGGTAAGAGTTTGGAGCCTAGTTACACCAGAAGGTTTAATCGCTAACAGGATTGCGCAGTATGGCCACCTTTCTGTGGCAAGAAATGCACCCTATGATGGCCGCTCGGATTTCGAGACGGCACTCACATACTCGCCAAACCATCCTGCCGCCACTGTCGGTTTGTCAAATATTCTACTGGATGTCTACAGCGAAGTGATTCGCCCTGTGCCCACATTCCCACGTCTCGAAGGCACTGAGACTTTGTTTAACCCCTCCTCCCCCGCACTCAAGACTGGCAAGGTTGCCCCCAAAACTCTACCGACCAATCCTCTAGGTCTAGGGACCACATCAAGCTCACCAACCCCAGCACCCCTCACCAGCCCATTACACAACCAGACATGTCTAGCCCACGAGGATGACCTCCCTGAGCCTTACAAGGCAACTTGTCTCCCACTTGCGGAGCGGCTCGCCGCCCGTGACCGCGCTCATGGTCTGTTATCTGGCCTTACACGTCTTGGGACCAGTTGGAATTACTCAGATGCTTGGTTCGCACTCGCTCGTGCTCATGAGGAGAGTGGCCAGCCTGATAAGGCCAAGGATGTTCTCTGGTGGTGCATCGAACTTGAAGAAGCCCGCCCAGTTCGTGACTGGGGTGCCCTGGGCGGTGGTAGTTATGTTCTTTAAAGAGCTCTGTTTTTTTTGCTTAGCTTGTTTCGTCTTGTTAGAGATTGATTTTCCAGTTAGAGTCACGACATATGGAGAGCTGCGAGCGAAAATAATATATAGATTCTGAGATAATTGTGGTATCTCCATGGTTTATGTGCTCCGCAAAGCAGTGATGAAGCAATTGTTTTAATATATTTGGTTGCCGATTTTGTGTCTCTAAGTAATTGTTCGGGATACCTAGCTAAGTGGCTGTTAGAAAAACAGAGACTGCAAAGTCACCTCGACAGAATTATTGTGGTAGTCAGTCACATAATAATACTTCCTATTGTAATAGTAAGCAGATAATATTGCCTAATAACCTAACAATAATTGCTCAATTATTTATTATTGTTGTTACCTATTGTTAACTACCTACTTCGTCTACCTCGTGCATCTTTGGACGCCCCTACCTTCCCTCCGTTCAACGCCTAGGCGGGCTCTTTCCTCGTCCGAGGTATCTGTTGACCCGCTTTCGCCTCGAAAGCCAGTGAGTTAAAGTTGACTATGGTCCGTGCACGAACAAGGTCATTCAAGTGGGCGTCAGAATAACAGGGATGGCAAAGCTGTTTTAATCCCAACTTTCCAATACAGGCCACGATATTGACAGACAATAAGGTAGTTAATGATAATAATAATAATTTTTGAGTATTTTTTTTTTTTAGATACGGGTAGTATTATGTATTATTGCGCAACAGGAAGCATTATTGTGTGACTGACTGCCACAATAATTCTGTCGAGGTGACTTTGCAGTCCCTGTTTTTCTGACAGCCACTTGCCATTGTTCAGTCGTGCACGGACCATGAAACTAGCTGAGGCACTGTTTACTCTGTTCTCACCTTCCATGATTTTGCTCTGAGTGACTGCCTGCTAGGAAGGAAATAAATATGAAGTCTCCTCTAGCATCCCGACTTTGTTTTTCTTTCATCATCATGCACCTCCATAGCCCTGTCTTCCTTTCGTGTTGCACTCTCCCTTGATACTACCACTACAATGGATGACCTCTCTGCTGTCGCTCGAGCCCTCGACTCGACACTTGATGTGAGTATTCCCTTGACAAACCTAGTCACTGAGGCTTGCTGACGTTGTTTCTTAGCGAAATGAACGAGAGAATCACCTCTCCGTGAGCTGTGCCCGAAGGCTAGCTACACTCCGTGCGGTAAGCATTTTCGTCTTTGTGTTTTTGAGAGTAAATTCTAACCATCTCTGCTAGGTAGTACAGGGACTCCTGGAGGACGAGTTCCCTCGATGTGCTGCCATACAGGCAGACCGGCACCCTGTAGCCTCCATGGCTAGGTGCCGGTCGCATGGCACCCACCTACTCTCCGCTGAGGCCTGCGAACTTGCCATTCGTGGAGCTCCGTTTCGGTCGGCATTGGGTCCTGAATGTGAGGACCAAATCTGGGAATACCAGCTTCTTCCCTCCTCCGTGGCTTTGATTGCAGACAAAATCAAAGCAACTCCGTTGGAATGGCGTCGAAACCATCCTTGCCGTGCCCCGTCGTGCCCTCTGTTTGTCCTAGAGGATGGCTCCTGTGTCGACAAGCAATGCTCCGATGCCTGCCCCGAGTGCCTAGAAGACCTAGTCTTCGACGATAGCCACAATCACATGACGTAAGTCTCACACCGAGGACTAACAATTGAGCTATTACTGACTTTTGAGGAGTTGCGTCAATGATGCCTGCGGTTTCCAGTGGTGTCGTCTGTGTAGAAGTGGCGGGTACACGTTGGCGGAATAGGAAGCAAACCGCCACTTCATGATAGACGGATGCCCCTTCATTGGTGTCGAAGCGTGGAAAGTGGACGACACTCCCACGGTCGATACTCCAGTGGTTGATACTCCATTGGACACTTTGTTGGATCGCGCCATGCGATGCAGGCACTGGTTTCGCGAACAACGGGGGGGTCCAGAAGAGAGGAGGTGTCAATTTTGCAGGGAGGTGATGAGAGCACATATATTTGTTTGCACTGCAGGCTGTGGTGTCCGGTCCTGTCGCCGCTGCAGAGAAGAGAGGGGCTGGGTATCCCTCCTCCGTGGATAAGTGGCCAATACGGGCCACGCAGTTGATAGACAGCAGTTAATAATAACAACAAGAATGAATTATTGGGCAATTATTAGGCGATATCATCTGCTTACTATGACACAATAGGAAGCATTATAATGTGACTGACTGCCACAACAATTCTATTAGGGTGACTTTGCAGTCCCTGTTTTTCTGACAGCTACCTTGGCGTCGAAGGTAGGGGAAGTGGCGATAATCTCGAAGAAACTACCTAAGATTCTGGGATAGTTGCGGCATTCCCCTTGTATATGTGCTCCGCAAGAAAAGCAATGATGAAGCAATTGTTTTAATAGATCTGGTCGGTGTTTTTGGGCCCATATTCTCCATCATGGATTCATTTGAACCGAGACTAACCGAAGCCTCCTTGATGGCCAGGCTTTCGTACCTACAGGGCGCCTGTAAATTTGGCCGGGAGAGGAACAACAGGGAAACACAACCTCTAAATAACCATTTGGATTACATAGCGGACGCTTTGTATCAGTTCAACCAAGGTCATAGCTCTCGAGACTGCGTAAACATGCACAAGGTGGACGAAGTGGTTGTCTGCCTTTCTGGATTAGCCTGAGACTGTTGTAAGCAGATGGCATCCAGTCTTTTTAGAGATAGCCTCTGCCTTCCACTCTGAATGGATTGATTCCCAGTGCAGCCTTAGTGGTATTGATTGACGGGCATGCGTGGGGGAAGAAAACTACACACTCCGTGTCTCTTGCATGAACCAATGAAGTTCCACATCACCCCCCCCCCCCCCAAGCATTTGGTGGCTGGCTTACATACATATAAATAACCAGCCGAGTGTATAAGAATGCACGTTTCCCCCTCTTTCAGCCTCAGGATGTTCAGGTTTGATTTTGTTTGCTAGTTACGTTGCATCATGCCCTTCGACACGATTCCCAAAGCTTGCTATTCAACATGCGGTTCGTGAACCTTGCCTTTTCTTGTTGACATTTTTGTTAACTAGTTTCTCATTCTAATTCACAGACGATGCCTACCTTCTTGCTAGCTCGCTCGGGAAGACTGATGAGCTATGCGATCCGAACGGAGACTTCTTTGCGGGATACAGTGCTTGCGTGAAATGCATTGAGGACAACATCACTGGATCTCAAACGACTCCGCGGGAACTAGTTGATCCAGCCTTCGTTCAGTTCTTGACTTTTTGCACTGGAATCAACATATTTTACACTTTGGGCACATTTACGCTCAATCCGACCAGTGTTATAACCATATCCTACTTGACCGCCCGGTCAATAATAAAAACAGCCACGAATACCACCTCGAGTACAACGTTGAGTACAACCTCGACGACGCCAACAAGCTTGAATGTGCCAATATGACGGCCCTGTGTCAAAGGTAGGGGTAGCGGCGAGATCCTCGAAGAAACAGACGACACCGTTACATAGTAAAAGCAGCATACACGATATCGCCATGAACACAGTATTTGCTTTTTCTTTTTGGATTTCTGAAACAGGGAATTTCCTCGTTCTTCTCTCATTTTGCTCCAAGATATCATTATCATCTTTCAATCCTATGGGGGCTCATTTAGCGTCGGTTTTGGTCAAGGCTTCAAAGAAATGCATTGGTTATGTTTGGAGGCAAAGAAATGTGAACGAAACCACATCTAGCTCTATCAAATCCACCTTTCATAATTCCTCATGTTAAGCATAAAGTCTACTCTCTTTAGTGCGGTAATCTACACGGAGGTTACGTTATAGAGATGAAAACTACATAGATCTTGCTCCCTCATCGAAGGCTAGTACATCTCAATAACAGACCGGGGCTCCTTATGTTCCACAACGACCAAAGGTTATTTGTTTGACTAAAGACCAGTAACTTGTATCTTCAGATATTTAAATTGATTTTAAGAGAGACCAAGGTCCAAGATAGAGTCCTAAAAGGGATTAACGACATCTTTGTAGTGATGAAAGGGCGCTACAGCATACGTGGGCTTCAAAGTTGTGCTACTTTTGTATATTTATCTGCAAGACTAAGACTCGTCTGTGATTCCTGGATTACGGTGCTATTAATATATGTTTGCGCTGTAATAAGTCGTCAAAAACATTCAGCCTTCCTGAACAAAATCAAATGCCAAAATGAACGTAAGGAACCCAATCCGCAGGCAGTGATTCTTGTGGAACGGCATCTCTCTCTTTCTGGGTAGACTCATGACTCCTTTTACTCCCGGAGCCGCTCGAATTCTCTTCATGCCACTTTCGCAAATTTCTGGCTCGAGTTTCTCCCTCCTCGATCCACCGGTCTCGAAGTGCTCGGCCAGCTTGGTGTAGACCCCAGCAGACCGACTCATCCGTCATCCCCTTATCCTGAATGCATTCATATGTTATCCGAGCCATGTCCACGCATACTTCGTCTTTGACATTCCACAATGTGCCTATTACGTGGCGGAAACCGGCCAAGTGGCATGCGCTAATCAGATGGATGCTCTCATCGACATACTTCTGATCCTGAATTCTGCCAGTTCCACACGCGGAAAGATATGCCAGGAACGGAGAATACTGTTTGAGATTGATCTCCCATAAATCAGCAACTTTGATCGAATTATCAGGATTCCCAGCTTCGAGGAGCAAGGAACTCTTCGACGGATCATCGTAGTGTGTTTGGCCATGGCCGGCAAAGTGGAAGATCTTGGATCCCGGCAAATGGGACAAAATAGCTTGTCGATGCAGTCCTGGCTTCTTCACCGTCAAGGACGGTATCGAGTTGAACAGATCGTACACCATGGTTGCCTCTTTGCTTACGAATGGTAGTTGGGACGTGGCCTCGACAGCCACGAGGAGTACTTGGCTGGTAGCTGCTAGCTTGGATCGCTGCTTGCGCCCGTTTATGATGGCTTTAATCGATGTGCTGTATGATGATATCGCCCTGTCTAGGACTGCTTCGTTTGAGTTCATCGCATGTCGGCCAGCTGCGTGAAGCGCAAACCGACTTAAAGGGCCGGTCGGCACCCACCATATATGAGGCCAACTGCTGTCATTGTCTGGAGTCTCGGAGAACCCAAGGGCGTCAAGAACTGGGCCTGCGATAGTGTCCCAAAGCCACTCCAGAATCTCGCTCTTCCCCAGGTCGCTCTCAAGCCCCCTGGACCTGATATCTGCCTCGGACAGTTGGCGTAGCTCCAATAAACGTATTTGATGCTCTTCGACGAGAATGGCATCACATCGGAGCTCGCTAACATTGATGATAACAATGGGGCCACGTTTCGCAGCTGCCTTTATCTCAACTTCGGTAGGAGGAAGCAAGAACCTCTCGAATCCCTGAATCTCTCGAATTTCTGCGAGAAGCAGATCAAATTCCTTTGCTGTCTCATAATGCCGCCTGCCTTGGACATCTCGAGACGCTCCGCTGTCGTTGCTATCCAAGGCTGCGTCAATACGTACGAAGGATTGTAAGCTCTCCTGGGCACGTTCAAACCTACCAGCCAAATCCGGACTCTTGCTTTTCAGCTCGGCTATGTCGCTTCGTATGTCTGAAAGCGACGCTCCAAGGATATCCCGTCCTTGTTCGAGAAGCGTCAACGCAACTAGCGGTGGTTGGTTCACCTGCAACGCGACAGCCACAGCATCAGATGCCAGACCCGCGATCCGAGCAAGCGCGTGTTGCTTATCGTAATTATCGAGTGACCGAGCTGTTATCTGGGGCACAAGGCTTACTGCAACCTCCGCAGCTTCAAATGCTCGCAGCCAGTCTGGGTCGTTGTGAACGAGAGCCGTACCTGCAATGATGCGAACAGTAGCAGGAGCATTGGGCTGATGGAGAGCCGATCGGTGCAAGGCAATTGCTTCTTCCAGATCCCCCCTGGCTTTGAGTCTTTGGTACCGGTAGAGGAGCAAGTCCCCAACATTGGACATGGTCGCCGCGCGTCCTGGCTCCTTTTCCGAGCAAGCAGCAGCTCCTTTTCTTCCGACCTGGATGGCCTCCTCGAGGTGTTCCAGCAGCAATGTTTTCTCGTACCGAGCCCGAAGGGATTTTGCAAGGTTGCCAAGCTGACTGGAACTCTTTACAGGGCCATCTAGGGCCATTCCCAGCACCTTTTCCCCAACCTCAATGGCTTCGTCAATGTCAGAAACCGTCCCCGTTTCCAAGTTTCTTTCCTTGAGTGAAACCGCAAGGTTGCTCAACCATATTGCCTGGTCAGGGTGATCATCTGGTGTCTTCGAGATTGCTTTCCTTAGAAGTTGGATGGCTTCATTGATATCGTGCTGGTCCCTTGTCCTTATATATCGGTGGCAGAGTTGAACAGCTAGACTATTAGCCTTCTCTGCCAAATCTGGATCTTGCTCCGGCGCAGCAGCGAGAACTTGTCTCTCGCGCTGAATAGCCTCATTGAGGTCCTCTAGTGCGCCTACTTGGATGTACCGATAGGTGAGTGCTGCAGCAAGGCTCCTCACATGTCTTACATGCGATGGTACTTCACTTGATGTCATTGCAACGGCGTCTCTCGTATATTGGATCGCTTGTTCAAGATCGGAGAGTTCACCAGTTCTGTTGAACTGCTCGGAAAACAGGTTTCCAAGGATACCGAGATGTGTTCCATACTTGGGACCACCTGAGTTTGTCACGAGGATTGCCTCTTTGCCCAAAGCGACAGCCTCTTCCAGGTCATGAACAGTTCTAGTCCTCTTGTATCGGAGACTCAAGCCAACCGCTAGAGCACCTAGTGAAAGGCCCCGTTGAGAATGATTCTCGGCGGCGAGCTCAAGCGACTTCCTTCCCACAGTGATGGCTTCTTCGAGCTCGGAAAGATCTCCAGTTCTGTCATACTGTTGAATAAGTGTCCCAGCGAGGTTGCCAAGCCACATTGTCCGGCCGGCAAAGTCTGAGGCTGTACTGTCCGCCTCCCTCATGAGGCGAATTGCTTCGTTCAGATCAACTGGATTGGCAACCCTCATGTGTCGGGTGAGCAGTGCCCTTCCGAGGTTTGCCAGGCTCATGGCTCGAGTCCATCGATCCTGCGTTGAAGCTGCAAGGGCTTGCCTACCAAGTTCAATGGCATCTTCCAAGTCCACAAGTGTGCCTGTCGCCTCATATCTGGTGCTCAGCAAACTTGACAAATTGGACAGTCCTATAGACCGAAAACGGTAGTCTTTAGGGGTTCTATCAGCCGATTCTCTCCCAACTTGGATAGCTTCCTCGAGATCAGCCATGACCCCAGTCCTGTCATACCTGCCCTCAAGTTGTGTTGAAAGATTCTGAAGCCACTGGAACCGATCAGGATGACCGTGATCCGCAGAAGAAACGACCTCACTAACGATGGCGATTGCTTCTTCGGCATCTTTCACGTCCCCCGTACTTGTATAGCGTTCGAAGAGCATCGCCGAGGTCATATTCAGCCGGCTCCATCTCTCTCTATCAGTCGGGGTGGCGCCGGCCGATTCTTTCCCGTTCGCAATAGCTTCGTCGATAAGGCCTACTTCACCCGTCCTTAGGAAGAGCTGGTGGAGTGTTTCTGCCTGGACGAACAACATAGCTGGGCGACTAGGGTGCTCTCGTGGCACCGCAGCAAGTCCTTCGCGCCGAAAATGAACGGCCTCTTCGACATCTGCTAGGGAACTCGATTCGTCATATCGAGTAATGAGTAAATCTGCAAGATTGCTCAACCACCTTGGCCGCTCAGGGTCGCCGACAAAACTCAGGGCAAGAGCTTCTCTGTTTATACGGACGGATTCGTCGAGGTCGGCCGGCGCTCCTTGCTTGTTGTATCGCCTTCCTAGGCAGCTTGTAAGGTGCGCATAGTACAATGTTTTTTCCGGATCGCCTCGTATCATTAGTCCTAGCGCCTGCTGTCCAAGTTGTATGGCTTCGTCTAAGTCGCCAACCGAGCTGGTTAGCATGTACCTCTTCTCAAGATCCATGCCGAGACAACGAAGCCATTTTGGTCTTCTTAGGTGGTGCTCTGGTATCACATTTACTGCATCTCGACCATACTGTATTGCCTGTTCAAGGTCGCTCTCCGCTCCCAGCCTCGAGTATCTCAGGCTAAGCCTGGCCCGGAGGTGATCCAGCCGAAGCGGCCGCTGCGGGTGAAGCCTTTGAGTCAAACGCAGTGCTTTTCCTCCGGATTCAATCGACTTGTCCAGATCTCCCAAGGCTCCGGCAGTTTGGTACCGAACAAAGAGTCGGTTTCCGAGATTAACCAGTCGTCCGGGCTGGTCCGGGTGGCCTTCTGGTGTGAGATCAACTGCCTTCTCCGAAATTTCAATGGCTTCATCGAGAGCAGCCGCTTCACCAGTTTCCGTGAACAGGTTCCCGAGCGCAACCCCAAGATTGCTCAAGGCCCCCGGCAGGTTTGGATGATCATCCGGTGTTGCGGCGACCGTCAGTCTCCCCACGTTGATGGTCTCCTCCAGGTCAAAAAAACTCCTGGTCTTCAAGTAACGTTCCCTTAGCGGAGCAGCGAGATTGTTTAGCCTCACAGGAAGGGCAGGGTGGTCTTCCGGTGTTGTCACAACCGCCTGCGATGCAAACTCGATCGACGAGAGAAGATCTGCCGCCTGCTTAAGAGTCAAGTATCGTCGGTAAAGGTTAACTCCGAGGTTATTCAACACTGAAGATCGCTCGGGGTCATCCTCGGACATCCCAGCGAGAGTGTTTCTCAATTCCTGGATCTCGTGATCGTCATAGACTGTTGTGGAGGCCTCGCCGGTGCTTCGAAGGCTGTCAGCGTATGGATGGACTGAATAGCATGCTCGTGGCAGGATATCCTGCAACTTACCCCAGACGGACAGCCAGCCTGTTCTCACTGGACTCGGCCATTCTAGAACACTTGTACACTTGGTTGACCGACGTTTTTTTTGCAAAGCGAGTATGCTTGAAGGGCAGAATTGATGAAGGATGGCAAGCCAGACTATTGTAGGGTGTATAAGATCAAAGTAAGGATCCAAATAGTCGAGCTTCCTGGCTTCATATCAAGCCAGCTTTTTATCATTCACTTCTGAAGGGGAAAGTGAGGGGTCGGGCTGTATTCAATCTTATGCGTCAGCCCAACTTTGCACATTGTCGTCCACTCACGTGTAACAGCCACCCTCCATTGATTCTGCACATTCGCGGCGGTGCAACGTAGACGACCTGGAACAGCCAATCGCATGTATATACAAGACCGTTACTTTCACATCTACCTTCTCTCTCCACGTGATGATGCTACAAGGCCAAAAAGAGCTTCCACCGAGTCAGCCACACAGCCAGCCTATGTGAGTGTGGCGAGTACGTTCAGACAGTTGAGACAGTTCGAGCGCATGTTTCCACAGCCAAATCCAAGGTTTGTTATTTATAATCCTGATTGGATAGAAAAATAATAGGAGCCATTCAAATACACGATAAACTCGGCTCACTACACTCAACCAATCACACCTCAACCTGATCTGAGCGACTAACATCACTACATGTGCTCTAGAAACTGGGTACTTCGTTCCGCCTCCCCCAATGCAGAGATGATAAAATCCGCATGACCGGAGAGTGTTGCCCATGATCCCCCATTCTCAGCCTTGTCGCTTTCCGCAAGGGTCGACCCCTCAAAGGCCGATAGCTCCTCGACGCGCTTCTTCCAAAACGCCCAGCGCCCAGGGCTGTACCCGCGGAGATCGGACGAGACAAGGCCAGACTTGATGGCGAGCTCTCCAGGAGCCGACAGGTCCGGGAAATCAGCATAGTTCAGGTGCGGCACCGAGGTGGCAGCGCCACACCTATTGCTGGCCAGGAGAATCAAACCGTTCTCCGCGTACCCTGAAACATTGGAAGCAAATTTAATCCCTTGTTCGACGGATATAGGGACCTCTTGCTGGCCATCTGTGTCCGCACTCGCTGGAAGGAGTGGTCGATCGGTCTCGAGGACTTCGCGGAACAGCGAGAGCGCAACGAGGGCCGGGCCGTCATAGATGCCAATGGACAAGAGGCGGCCAATAGCCGCAGCCATGTTCTCGCGCTGGACGTCGTCGTAATGGCTCTTGTCCCAGTAGCGTGTGGTGTATTCCTCAATCAGAGCTGGGCTGAAGAGTGGGAACTCAGGCCAGAGCCTTCGCCCGTCAGAGAAGGAATCGCTTCGAGGGCTGCCATCCCCAAGGGGGGGGAGAGGCAAGTATCCCGTCTCTCTCAGGGCCACGAGACTTAACACCAGCCTCTGTTGAGCTTCATGGCATTCATCTGTATGCTTGAAGACTTGAATCACTTGATACCAGATCTCGTGGAGCCTGAGTTCCTCAAGAAGCAAAGGATAGTCGCTGTTAAGGTAGTGGAATGAGACATAATTGAAGTCTACCTGGGGGCCGTTGCCCTTGCAACCTTTCTCTACCCAGCGCCGGAGCGATGCATCGAATTCAGATCGCCCCTCTGCTGCGCGCGACTTGTAAAGCTCCAGTATGGTCTGGAAGTCAGGGAGCTCTGGGTCGGACATGGTGGAATAGGCGTCTGGGGGTTGTCAAGTGTATGCCAGGCAAAGAATACTGACTGATGGCGGGCATCGGGTAGCCCATCTGCTCACACAGGGTGGATCGAATCTGCCTTTATACATACAGAGAAAAAGGGGGAGCTTGGGACTCAGCCGCCTTGTCCCGCATGTGCGTACAACCGTCCCTGCAGTCGCAGTCAGCATGAATGTTCTGCTCCTAAATCAAGAATCAATACCCACATGTTGGTCGCAAGCTTGTTGACACCACACGTTGGTTGTATGCGTGGTGCCTCGCAGTCTTGCAGGGGTTCGGTTCCATTTCTACACCCATTTCCAGCGGCTTTGCCCCTGTTTAACCTGTTGGTGAGCATGCCGGATGATTGCTGGGAAAGTAGGATTGCATGAAGCCCCAGGAGGCTAGCCGAGCTCAGCCTTTGCGATGCAACACTGAACCAACTGCATATCATGAACCTTGCAGCGGGGTGACCTTGTGCCGAGCAAATCCAGGCGACCAACTGCAGCAAGATACCAATAATATCGTAGGAATGAGAAGACGTCTTTGGGGAGGAGAGCTTATTTTATCTCTGTGTCTATTTTGGGCCAAGCAGACCAACAATAACCTACCCTAAGTATAAGAAGACTGTCTTGGCTCATCCAAACCTAACAATAAACCTCTTCTCATATCAAACTTGATCAAGACCCAGTATTGGGTAACAAATACACCGACAAATACACCCCCTCGTTATTTTATTCCAGTCGTCAGCCACAATGAAACCCCAGGTTGCTCTGATTGTCCTTGGCTTGGTTAGCAGCAGCGTTGCCATCTTGAGAAAGCTCGATTTGCCTTTCGAGGACAATCCCAACGTCAGTCTCCGTAGGCAGGGTGTAAGTAGCATTTCAATAACCACTGCGTGATTGCGGACTTCACTCCACAGTTTGTGGAAGCGTATTGAAAAATTTACTGAAGAAGAATCTCTTGCTATAGAAGTGTGACCGCCGAACTAGCGTTTGCACCGATTACAAATGGAACAAGAAGGGTAGAACCCTAGACAAGAGAAAACAAAAGTGGGAGGAAGCCACTGCAAGCGTCGCATGCGCTCCGAAATCCGTAAGTCGTTCCAAAACTCCCGACCACATGGCAACACCACACTTGGTAGAGACAAATACTTACGCCTTTGTCAGTGTCATTTAAGAGATTGCAGGATCTCGCGTCAGGGGAATAACAGATTCGGGGACACTGCACTGTGTTGGTGATCGAACTGCTTCCAGTCATGTCCAGAGTTGCAAGGCAGAAGGAGGGAGTTATGCGTCCCGTCACCTGCTCGTACCTGACTAAAGCTTCAAACTTCCAACCCTCTCCTCTCCCGCCCACCGAGATGGGAGTCTCGGGGGCAAGTGGGTAACAGGAGACATTGGGTTAATAAGTAAAGAGATTTAGTAGTTTAAACTGAAATAAAGTGACAATATACGTCATATCATCTCCGAAGTATATATTATTAGCACTTAATAATCTGACAATACCGGTCGCAGACTCGAGAATAAGCAGCTCAATGTTTGAGTGTCTCAATTTCAATGTCACCCACTTGAGGGGCTACAAGACGCCACTCTCAAGTAATATTAAGCACAGTGACGGAGTCCTCTGAGAAATCTACGACACTGTTGCATCACGGAGCAGCATGCAAGAAATCACGGCAAGCTTCAGCATCTAAGGGAAAGAATGCTAGTGTTATTCTGCTTGTGTATCTTTACTCGACTCTATGGTTTCTGCCCACCCGCCAAAAACTCCAATAGTGTGTGGATATCGCTTTTCTTCTCTCTCTCTCTCTTCGTCTCTAATAGTAAAAGGGGGGGCATTTGAACATATATAAGGGGGTGTGAAGATGAACATATGAAAGTGTAGTAAGATGAGAATGTTACTTTATTTTACGTATCTTTGTTTTGGATTTTTTACTACACCCAGATGGGGACTAGGATCGCTGATCTGCTAGGCTTGTTGTTCTATGACTGCCAGCTCTTCAGCAGACCCAGGAGGTAGTTGCAGAAGGCCTTCCTGTCTACGGAAGTGGTGAGCGATCGAAGGAACTCGTCGCCGTTGATGCCGAGGCTGGGGAAGAGCCCGGCCTGGACGTTCTGGATAAAGACGTCGCCAGTCTTCATGTAGATGGTCTGCTCAAGGCGGGCGAGCTCTGCGAGCACCTGCCTTGACTGGGCATCCTGGGCTGGTCGGAAAATGGGATTACGCATGACCTCCCAGCAGACGGTGTGGAACCGCTCAAGCATGAACTGGTCAAATCCAGGAATAGCCGGGTTAGGCGGCCCGGTAGGAGCTGTGGGATTCTCGGAGACATTCGCAACGTCGGGCCCACCCCATATGGCAGAGATGCGTGCCATGACGCTGAAGGCGAGCCGCGCAGGGCCCAGGCCCAGGTTACCCTCCAGGGTTCGCCCAATGTCAGTAACAGAAGTGACGATATTCTCAAAGAACCCCTGGTTCTTCTCGCTGATCAAGACACCATCCAGCCCGTTGTTGAGGATGATCTGGATAAAAGACAAATATTCTCGCCTAAGCTCTGCAAGCTGGACCTCGTCGTCCGTCCCTATAATGGGTTCAGAGAGACCACTGAAGATTCTCTCCAGAAGTGGGGTGAGGAGGATGTTGAGGATATCGTAGATTTGTGACTTGAAGCCAAAAACTACTTGGTCCAAGAGTCGGAGGAACATGGCCATCTCGTCCTTTGAAGAACTTTGAGCCAGTAAACCCTCAATCCACTGTGGAAGCTGCGGGAGGACGGCGGGGCCGAGAACACCCAAAAGCTTGGAGAAGGCAGAACGGCATGCCAGTCGGATATCCGCAGAAGAACTCAATTGGCTAAGAGCAATCAGGATGGCATCGGCGGCCCTCGAGAACTCATCCGACACCGCTTGATTTGGCAGGGGGCCCTGTGGTGTAGTGGCGCTGGGAGACCAGTCTGAGAAGCCGTGAGCCAAGGTTCCCAGTGCCATCACAATGTGGTGGATCTGCAAGACGGCTTGGGCATCGCCAGCCTTTGCTCGGGGGAGATGGGCCTCCATATCACTAAACAGGGGATCCATCACTGAGCGAACAATGAGCGCCTGCTTCTCTGGCGGCGTGCTCTGTGTGGAAGAAATGCAGCCAATCGCCTCGAAGAGGTAGAGCTGGCCAACAAACAGCGCATCCGCCGAGTGATCAGACTCGTCAGAAGACATGTCGTCGTCAGCATCCTCGCCAGGAACTTCAGCCTTGATCGGGAGCAAGTCGGCAATCGATTGAATTACCGTCTCAGCAACATTGCCAACTTGCGCACGAAGGTGTTTGATAAAGCGATAGAAGAGATACCATGACCGGGTCTTGATACGAACATAGTCGAGATGGACAAGTCGCACAAAGCTTTCCAGGACTCCGGGGATGTACTGGCCATTGGTTTCGAAAACAACGCAGTATCGTACACATATTTCCATATACTGGAGCAGGATTGCAGGATGTTCGAGGTTGGAGATGCCTAAGGGTGAAAAAAAGAAAATGTCAGCAGGGTTGCGCACGGTGCTACCTGACATCAAGATAAATCCTTACCTGACTCGGCCATTTTGCGCATCATGACCACCAGACGCTCAGAAGCCTCGTTGGATGGCTGGTTCTTTGTTCCCAACCCTTGATTGGGCAAAGCCAGTTCACCAAAGAGATACATCTCATAGAGCGCCAAATCGAGGTCTCTCCAATCCATCTGCGATCCTTGCTGCTCCAGAGTCTGGAATGTGGTCCCCACAAGATTGCTCAGAGTCTCCATATACAAGGGCTGGTCAATGGCGGCAATCGTCTTCTGCAAGTTCTGCAGCTTTCGCCGGAGCTCCTGAAACTCTGCCTCGTCCGTCTGTTCATCCTCGTTGCCCCAGCTCGCTGTCTCGTCGTACCTCATTTTGCGAATAATGGCATTAAGAATAGGAGGGAGCATCTCGGAATATTCTGGTGGGATTTGCTTGACTTTGCGGAGGAAAGTCAGGAGATCAGTGAGCGCGGGTATCACGGTCGAACAAACCTCGTCATATTCATCTGAGAAGAAACGGAGAAGGAAGGGCAAGAAGCCGTTCAAGAACTGGTTTGCACTTGTCCTGGTTTCGTCTGCGATCTGGTTGTCCTCGAGAGTCTTGACAATATCGGCCATGACGGTGTTAACCAGGTTGGCCACTTTCTCAGCAAGGTCTGTGTCGTACTGGGAGGAACCTCTGTACTCGCTCAGCGCGGCGCTGTTGATCAATTGGCCCACAATCTCCTGCAAGTTCAAGAAAGAGATCATGCCAATCTTGTCGCGAGGCTGCATCTTCTTTCCACAAATTTGGGTCAGAGTTTCGATTGCGGAATCCCGAACACGATCCTCATTCCCAGCATGTGGCGTCCGCCCGACCAAAGGCAGAAGAAGGCTGAGCATATCTTGGCTGACAACCAGAGAGATGTCCATCCAGCTGACCCATTTCGAAATGACCTTGAGCACAAGATCGACTACGGAGTCCTCGTTGGCGTACTGGACCAACAGCTGCTTCCACGAGTCTGCGACTTTGTAGACATCCTGGGCTCGGAGCTGGTCTTTGAGCTCTGTGTTGCGTTTCGCTTCACCATTTTGGCGAGCCAGCAACATGTCGGCAATCTCGTCATGGATGGAGCTCAGGATTCGCAGATAGAATATGACACCCGGGGTGTTCTGAGTATTGCTGGTAAGGCCAGACAGCTCTAGGAAGTCATCCAGGAAGCTCTGCCAGCCATCCTTGTAGAGGAAGACAAACAGGTATGTGAGAGTTTGGGCAAGCTTGTTCTGCAAGTGGGCAGGGTCGGGCTCTTGCTGACGTTCCGACCCATATGTCTGCCGTACGTATTGTAAAAATGTATCTTTCAGGTATTGTAAACTAGGGCCGTCGAGACCCTGTGTATGGACGGCATAGTTGACGACCTCGAGACAGACCAAACGCAGAACTTCGGAGGATTGGCTCCTGACGAATAGAGTTGTGCACACTTGCCACCCCTGGGGGTCGGTTCTCAGTTGGTTGAGATATTCGAAGGCTTGCTCTTTCAAGGAGTTGTCGGAGTGGGGGTTCCCCAGGATGCCAACAGCATTCTCGATCTAAATGAAGGGCAGCATGGCTCGTCAGTATTGAACCTGGTTCGCAGATTGAAGGACGTGTGCATGGAGCCATTCGGCACACAAGGGATCGATGTGGTTACAAGAGAGGGACCGGTGAGCCCAGCCATGACCCTAGGCAGAAATGGCGGGGCACATGCATCACCAGGCATGTGGGCAGCGACTCACCTGAGCCTCCATATTCAAGGTTGGAGCAAGAGAGCGGCGGGCGGTCACAGCACGAAGAGATTATTCGAACACTAGGGTGCTACCTATCACACTGGCAGCCGTTGGGAGCAGCTGCATACAGCATTCTCGGGGTCGAAGGTGGTCTGGAAAGCTAGAGAGGTGCCATGCCTAGCTCACGAGGGGCGTGGGACTTGGGGAACAAAGGTCTGGCAAGAGTGAATACACGGCGGACCTCGGGTGTATGACCAATCCGTCGGTTCGCTCGTTGTATGTTCTGTCCGTCGGTACGAATAAGTTGTCGCCGTCGCCGTAGTCGCTGCAATGCGGGTTTATCTGTCTCTCTGCAAAATTTCCAAAAATTCGATTCGGTGCGATAATGGTGGTCTTGTGTTGATGTGGGGTTGGTGACTGGACATGTGTGTGGTCTTGGATCTAAGGTGGAGTCAGGCCGGCGAACGGAAGATTCTCGGGCTGTTATTTTCCAGAGTTTGTTGCAGACACGCAGGACTGATAAGATAACTGAAGTTCCATTCTAGAATAACCTTCGAACGGGTTGATTATGTAATCGAATCCAGCACAAACACCACTGCCATGGCGACCGTGGAAGTTAAGGCTGTCTTCTTTGATTGACAACAGTGATTAGTGATAATTAAAGAACGAAAAAATTATGCAAAGATCAATTCGTGACGATTTCTCTTGATATTTTGTCAACAGTAAATGATATTCATTTTGGTATGCGATGTTTTATCTCATCCAAATGACAGCCAGCGGTGTAACCTCACATCCGACAGAGTATCAAAGACAGACCAACTCACCAAAAACTTGAGATTAATAAATAAACGCATGACGGCCTAGAAAAAAATGAAACATAGGAATCCCGACTAGACACTCACCATATTAACTTGGTTCTTTCTCATTACATGAATTCTTCATTGATCGGGGTCATCTACAGGGTAAATGAATATCCTGCCTACCCTACTGCTTCTTCAGCGCAAGAGATCGCCTCATGCATGTCCCATCAGGCAATTCAATTCAACATCCGAACTCAATTCACATTAAGCCTTATTGCTACACTTGGTGGGCATGATAGCCAGCCCGTACTACGGCCAATTATTCCCAGATCAATTCTGCCAATTTAGCTTCCAGTTTCACCAGAGGGCAAGTTGAGACCTTCTAGAGGCAGAGAGACCAAGCAATTGGCAATGCTAAGTCTGATTGGGTCGAGGGTGGTGTGGACCAACCTTGCAGCCAACAGCCTATCTTCAGCAGTATTTTTTACCTGGGCAATGTGCAAATGGTTGGTGACACGGACAATTTTATTGGGCATAAAGATGTATCAAACACACATGCTTGAGTCAGATTATTCGGACGACTTATGCTTCAATCAAGCAGATGTAACGTGCAGCGAGATTGGAGCATGGAAGCGCTGGACAAGTCGTCCCAATGAAACATTACACACGAGCTAGAATGGGTGCGCCACCGAGCCTTTTGCTCCTGTGGCTATTTAATGCGGGGTGTCCTACCCACAGCTGGGGCCTGCCGTATTCAGAGATGTGAAACAAACCCAGGGAGATGGGACGAATCTGGACACGCGAGAAAATTGAAAATCGGGGCCTGGTGGTTGCTAACCTGGCGGCTGGGAAAGAGACAGTCTTGCGTACGGGCGTGCGAAATCCGTCCCCAAAAAATCGACTCAAGACCGACAGATATACTTTTGTGCTCATGCCGCAGAAGTCCCAGGCGGGGTGGACAGAGAAAAAGGATATCATCGGGAATTGTCACGCCAGGCCTGCATTGGCATGCTTCAAACGTGAGTTTCAGAAACCCACAAGCTCCCAGATCCCACTTCATGCAGTAAAAGGAAGCAGGACAAGGCCGATTCGACAAGGATTATGCGAATCATGCCGAAAAAAGGAGATGAAGGCAGAGCAGGAATCTGGGCTCTTTTTCGAAGAGCATGTCAATACTACCTTGACAGTCCAGGATCCCTACTTCATCTCGGTAAGCCCCAACCTGAGCACCAAGATGATAATATGTAACTACAGTGCCGATGGGTCAAGCGCCCAAGAGTCATGTAAGGAGGTTGAGCAGAATGGCTCTGGCGGACCGCCCGCCTCTTGTTTGTATCTGGTGTGGCAGACCGACATGCGATAGGTCATAGGTAGGGTAGAATGAACAACGACCTCCTGAGAGAGGGTGTCCTCGACCAGAGTAGGTCGAAGGCCGGACGTCATCTAGCTCTGATCACACCCTCGATGCGGAGTGGTGCGACAAGGAGGTGCAGGAAGAGTGGAGGACCCCTGCGCAAGGGTGCTGGTCCGTGAGGCTGGCAGGCCCTGGTTGGCTGGTCCGTTGAGTCGCTGGAGATGGTAATGAGGATAGGCAGGATAATTTACAAGACAGCCTGCCCATGTGCATAGGTTTCGGGCGAATGAGTTGACTGGGATGGCGGCTCTGAGGGATTAGTCCTAGGTGGCCGGGAGCGAGCGCATCGTTGGCGACGAGGTATCTTGGGCACCGTTCACTTCGTTGTTTGCTGCCATGGTCTGAAAACTACTGCTCCAAGTTGGGTAGGTCTGGCAACGCTCGAGTCGCTCTGCTGGTGTGTAAAATATTACTATCCTTCCTTTCCAAGGTTTGAACTATGTTGGCTCGAACCCGGCACTTGGAAGGCTTTAGGCGGGTTTAGGTAGGTCCCAGGCGAAATAGAAAGAGGCAAGAACGTCTCTGGTTTGATCTCCAGATGGTGATTGGCCACACCCCTGCTGAAGCCTCCTGCTTGACATGGGTTGGTTCTTGGGTCGTGGCTGGTGGTTGGTGCTTCCCCTCAGCGCCACAGCGGGATTACAGTGGGAATTCCTCCCTTCTCCGCTGTTTTTCTCTACCAATGCACTGCTCGTCCCAAGGACCCAGATTGCCAGACCACCATCAAGCCCCTGCCATTCGATGCTTCCCGGCTCCGAAGAGACAGCGATGGGGAGATGGACGCCTGCTTTCTCGGTGTAAGCACAGGGGAATCTAGCTGCACCCTTGGGCTGGCACTCTGACCTGCTCGGTAGGGAAATCCGGCACCAGATTGCCTACGAGTCGAAACCAAAGCTTGCCACATGGAATATTACCAACACATCTCTGACCGTGTTACCCCCGGGAGCAATCTCTCTGCTGCCGAGGGCAAAGGGACCACCGCTCGTGCTGTTCGCTCGCTCATCCTTGATCGTCGAGTCCATCTTTGCAGGTGACTACGTACAGTGCCGGCAGATGCCCCGGTATCTCGACCAAATCATCTGTAAGCGGCTTAGATGTGCCGACGCCTTTGCCAGTTCCTGCATTAGTGGCCTCGCAGTTGGTAGGGGGGTGGGTTGGCTGCAGGAGATGAGAAGGCAATTGGCTCGTCATGCCCCGATTGATTCATCCTGTGCAGCCGCACGGATCCCTGGAGCACACACACACACAGTGTGTTGTCCCTCTGCCGGAATAGGAACGTACGATAAATCGGGGAGGTCTTTGGGCTCCTTCACATTATTTTTACATCCAGCCCATTTCGAAAATAGCATCTCTCAGAGCCTTGAGCAAAGAAGAGCACGGCATATGCGGGCTGGGCTAATTGCTCATCTTGAGTGAAACGGCCAGCTAAGATATATGATTTCGTTGATCATATTGATGCGGCGGGGAAAGCGTGTTGGCAACCGACCGCTCCAAGAAACTACAGACCAGAAGGCTCTGGCCTAGCCTATTGTCGATCAACTTGCACATCGTAATGTTCACCGTCTCGTTCATGATCTACCTACTGAAGGAGGCTTGAGCTCGGAGGTTTGGAAAAGAATTGTTTCGGTGAGGCGTGTACCACCAGCCAAGGAAAATATTGGCCTGGCAAGCAGGCTGCTCTTCTGGTGGTCAGTATTATCAAGACATGTCTATGTCTGAAACCTCGGCCAGTGCCGCCCAAAGACGGCCTGGTGGCATCGCAATCATGCAAGGATACCCATTCACAGCACGCACATCCCAAAGCGCGGAGCCACAATACACGGGAGGACAGGCGTGTTTCACTTGCTCCTCCCATAATATCCGCTCCAGCATCAAGTCACTCCATCACCAGCCAAGCCAGCATGCGGCCCTCTTCCTCGATGAATTGCCGGCTAGGCGGTGCTCAGACGGCGTCATTCGGCCATTGCGATCAACCAGCTCAGCCTCGTATCGTTCCCTTCTAGAGGCTCTGGGGAGATTGGGGATGCCATCACTCTCTTGACCGAATGTCTGGACGTGGGGCAACGGAGCCAGGATCGACATGTCGTAGTCAGTCGCCGGCCTCTGGCTCACAGCAGCTTCCCTTGTGCCACCCGGGCCTGGGTCCTGCAGGCCACTCACGTTTTCAAGATGGCAAGTCGTCGGCTGGCGGTCCACCCAGTGCGGCCGAGGAGGCAAAGATCCGCCTCTAGTGCTGGTGTTGGCCATGGGGCGCAATTTCGTAAGGGGTGAGGTGGAGCTGGTGGAGGGGTCTGGTCTGGAGCCTGTGGACATGCCGATGGGGTCCAGCTGTCCCCTGGCGCCGCGCATACACACCTTGTAAGTGCGTCTGTCGACTCTCAATGCACCGATAGACGACCCCGATCAAGATGGTATTAAAGCTGCCGCCGTCCTCTGGCCATCATGCCCGCCTCTCTTGCTTCTGGTCTGCACAGACAAGTACTTTTCTTCTCTCTCCGAGCCATTTCCATCTCGTTTGACTCGCTCTTTGACCTCGGTCGTCCATTCTTTGAAACCACCAAGTAACTTACACCCGTTCTCTTATACCAGACCCTTTACTTTCCCCCCAACCGTCAAAATGCGTTACGCTATTGCTACTGCTGTCCTGGCCTCCGGTGCCATGGCTTCCATCGGCCACGGCCCCGAGACCTCGACTGCCTACACCACCGACGTCGTCACCGTCACCCACTGTGGTCCCTCCGTCACCAACTGCCCGGCCAGTTCGACCCAGGTCATCACCAACACCGTTCCTCTGACCACCTCGACCTTCTACACCAGCATTGTCCACACCATCACTGACTGCGGTCCTTCGGTCACCAACTGCCCTGCCCACAGCACCATCATCTCCACCGAGACTGTTCCTGTTTCGACCACTGTCTGCCCCATTGGCAGCGGCTCCTCTGTCCCCGGCCACTCCACCAAGACCTCCGCGAGCCCCAGCCAGCCTACCTCTTCTCACGGCGGCCCCAAGCCCAGCAGTGAGGCTCCCAGCAGTGTCAAGCCTAGCAGCGCCGCTCCATCCAGCGCCGCTCCCAGCAGTGCCAAGCCTAGCAGTGCCGCTCCCTCCAGTGTTGTTCCCACCAGCGCCAAGCCCAGCACCACCCCCGTTGTCTCGAGCGTGCCCATCAGCCACACCTCCGAGAACAGCCCCCAGCCCGGTAGCAGCAAGCCCGTTGTCTCGAGCGTGCCCATCAGCTACACCTCCGAGAACAGCCCCAACAAGCCCTCTACCACTTCTCTGGCCGGCACCCCTAGCGTCTGCGTTCCCAGCGTTTCCACCACTGCCATCACCAAGAGCTACACCACTGTTCTCACCACTATCGAGTACGCTACCTTTGACGTTCCTTGCCCCATCTCCACTCCTGCCCAGGAGCCCAGCGCCACCTTCAGCACTCCCCCCGTCTCGAGCAACTCCCCCATTGGTGGAAACTCTACGTAAGTGATCCTCCAGACAACTGTCTTGTGAACTGGACAGAACACTAACTCGTCGAACAGCACCACCCAGCCTCCTATCCCCACTGCCGCCGCTGCTGGTCTTGCCGGCTCCTCTCTCTTCGCCGGAGCTGCCGCTCTGGCCGCTCTCGTCCTTGCTTAGATGATTGGATGAAAAAGGGACTCTAGGCTCCAAAGCCTCTGGATACTGTTCATAGCACGACAAACTCTTTATTTGACGACCACTTTGAGTGTTTTCTCACTCCCAGGAGGAGCAGGCCCCTTTTGTATTTTGGACAGGAAGTGTATAAAGTGAAAGCTCGGTCTTTCCTTCTCTGAATGACACTGGCATTATTTTTAGACTCACGGCAGCCTGGGGCATTTGTTTTGTTTTTGTGGTGTAATTAATCTTCTTAATGCAGCTGAAGGCGCAAATGATAGGCCGCGGTAACTCAGCCGGTAACCCTGGATGGTATTACTGCAGTTTTAGAAAATGAAAGAAAATAAAACAACCATGTCCTTTTCACTTGATTTGATGAAGTATCATGGATCCAGGTTTGATGAGATTGAGCGACCTGATTAAGATGAGCCAGTTGATTTATTGTTGCCTCGTGTAGATTAATTGCATGCTTATTTATGTATTAACTGATTATTGTTCTCTAGCATAAATTGGAAATTGGTTGGTCAACTCCCCTCCAGGTCTTGGATGAAAGCACACAGAGCTTCATCTCCTATTTCTCGTCAGCCCGCATCATCAACAGAACTTCCCTCATTGCTGGAGAGCGCTTCCGCAGGAACAACCTGGAACTTGTTCATTTTGCCCGAGTTCCTTTCTGCTGCGCTCGTTCACTGGTTGTGCTACGCATGGATATTCGTAATGAGAGGCATATTTGGCCCTTGGTGTATTTGTTCGGGCTACATTTGGCCCGCAATGATAAATCATAGCTATCGTAAATCAATCCTGCAGAGGACCACTTGACCAATCGTCACGCCAACCTCTACTGCCCTCCTTGCTGGGCCAGATGCGGCGAAACACCTCCATCTCTTTCGGCCTGGGCGCCCAACCGTCTGCCTCGGTTCGATCGTAAGCCTCCCTCGCGGATCGGTTCAGCTCCTTGATGTTTGTCACTTCCCCATCATCCCGGGGGACTCGCTCGATCAGCCAGGAACGGCTCATGCTTTTGAAAAGGGACTCTGCGATGACGCACTGGCCACGGCCAAACGGATGGGGCCCGTCGGCCCAGAGCTTGAGAGACTCCAGCCGCTTGGAACCCTGGCGGACAGTCTCCCAGATCGATCGCGCCAGCGTCTCCCCCACCGCGCAGTTCACCAAGGCCGCCCGGAGGTGGCCCTTCTTCACACCGTATCCCTCGACGAGATCCTCCTCGTCGAACGCGGGGTCCCAGGCGTCGTCGCGCTCAAGCCGCCAGTTGGACCAGTCCAATATGAGGAGGAGGGACCTGAGACGCCGGATCCTGGCGAGGGTCCTGTACATCTCGACCTCGGCTGCGTTGGACTGCGTTCGCCTGACCGGAACACCCAGCTCCTCCAACGCCGGGCACTGGGCCTGGATCTGCACGATGTGGTCCCTTGTGAAGGCCATGGGTATCTCGTGCCGGTTCCGACCTGGGTTCCCGGACCACGGGTCCTCCCAGGGCCGGAGGACCAGCTTCCTCAGCGTCTGGCCGTGGCGGTGCAGGACGGCGTCAAGGATTTCGGGCTCGAGGGGCCCGCATACCGAAAGCTCCTCGAGAGGTTCCAGCGCCGTGAAGAAGGCGATGATGTTGTCGCCATACTCGACCCTCTCGCCAGTTTCATCATTGCGCCTCATTGCAATGCACAGGGCTGTTAATTGAGGGAAGCGGTAATTCTCAGCAATAAACTTCATCAAATCATCATTCAACCCATTCCGCACCGGCGTCCCGAGAGTCAGGCGGCGCAGGGACTCAAAGTCCGTAAACCTGGCCCAGGTCTGGATATAACCCGGCGTCCAGAGGAAGCCGTCCGATGTAATGATGGACAGCGAGGCCAGAGATCCAACCGACCCGGACGCGAACCCAGGAAGGCCTTGCCATCTGGCCCGGCGCCGGAGGCTCCTGCCTCCCCGGCCAGGGTTGAAGTTCACAATGGTGGCTTCCTTGAGGTTGGGCGCGAGACCGGCGACGAGCTCCATCATGGCCTCTTGGTTGAAGTCGTCATCGGCCTCCGAGTCACGGCCGGTGCACATCACCTTGACCTTGTGCAGACACGGCGATGTAGCCAATGCCATCTCGTAAGGGTAGGGGGTGCCCCATAACAGCGTCCGCATCCGAAATGTGAGGTGGTGCAGTTGGCAGTGAGCACGGCGTGCGTGGAGAGCGTCCAGCAGGCTGGGAGGGAATTGGTTTGGGCAGTTGTATACCAGCTTTTCCAGAGACGGCAGTGTTCTGATGAGGCTGATGACTGGTGTCCATGCCAGATCTTCCTCGGAATGTTGCCTGATCACCGACTCATCGTAGACGAAGTACTCCCCGGAAGGGATCTGCTCTTCGTCAGGGAGGATCTCATTGGTTTTGAGGCTATACCACCAGCCCAAAGGGTCGACATCCCCCAAGAATCCCTTCTCGTTCCTTGGTTTCTTGAGATCTAGGAACCCTTCAAGGGCGAGGGAGTGGACGTGACGTGCGGAGTCTGTGCGAGAGAGCGCCGCACGAAGACTGTTGACGTCGACTTGCAATTCCTCGCGAGTGCGAATCTTGAGGTGGATTTGGCGGAAGACGAACAAGGTGCTGGCTCGATGGCAAGATCTACTTGCGAGACTGAACGCGCAAAGACTGGGCCGATACACGTCGGCAAGGTATCCCGCGATTTGCTGCAGTATCTCGAGTGGCAGGCGGCATAGGCCTGCCTCAGTCAATTCTGCCGCCATTATTTAGCATACGTAGACTGGTCCGGTTGAAGCGACGTCTCGGGACCGAAGGTAGGTAGAGAAGAGGACGATGGGATGGAGCCCAGGCCGATCGAGTCTAATATAGAGCACTCGTGGAGGCTGGTTCTGGTTACGTCGTACGTGGCATCCATCGCGCACTCAATCACAGCTCGGGCGCGATGTGGTGTTCAACTCACACCCTCAGTATCAGGTAATTGATCTGCCGCCGTAGAGTTGAGCCAGGTGGAAGGCCGCATTACCTAAGGCGAGGGGATCACCCAGCTCGCGTGCAGTGAGGCGGCGCAGCAGCAAAAAACACAGAAGTCCCCTCCTTTGGATCCTGCAGCTTCTTTTCTTAGTCACTTTTGTCCACAATGTCCCAAACCCTTTGTGATGACCACACCACTTCAATGCTTTGCCCTCTTCATGATTAGGTGATATCGTCTGACTTTGAACTGTAATTAATGAGACGCATACACAGATGCAGGTCTGGTATGTGGCACGACGTGCATGAGAATTCGGCCACAACAACTTCGTCGGGCCCGAGGGAAGACAGTGTTACAATAGCTACCTATGATCGTCGATCGTCAATATTCATCGCGCCTTGGCTTGTGGCTAATGCGGGACACTGGGCTAATGCCTCATCGCAGCTATTTTCGGCAGGGCTGTACCAAAGTGCTTAAATGTGAGCCCTATACTCCATTCTCCTGCATTGGCCGGTAGAAAGCCCCTTCTTTTGGGCATCATGCGGCTGACTGCATGCACACTCTATCCGTAACAGGGAAAGCCAGGGCCTGTGCCTCCTCGCAACTGGTCAGACGTGGAGAGAAAGAAAGGTCTTACTGCGACCGGAGAAATCTGAATTTAGATTCATCATTCATGTCCAGGCGGCGTCGATTAGCAAGGGTGGTCACCCGAGTCACCTTGGCCAGGGCATCTGACTGGCTTCAAGTTCATATAAGGCGTCCTGCCCTTCCTCGATGTTTTCTGCTATCCTTGATAGAGTATGGGAATCAATCATTGAGCAAGCCAATCTTTGTATTCTCTCTCTTTTCTTTTTTTTTTCTTTCCCTTTCCATTTCCCTTTTCTTTAAATATAATTTATGCTTTCCATTTACCACGCCGAGAATGATTCCCTTTAGACAACTCTTTCTCATAGCACCCTCCCTTCTTCTCAGTGTCGTTGCGGCCACCCCTGGTGCCCATGATGACCTGAGCATCCGCAATGATGCCGACAGCACCAGCTATATCTTAGAAACCCGCGACTTCGACTTCGACTTCCCACTTGAGCCCCGTGACGAGGATGATGTGTTCATCCGCTCCGTCGGGGGGCTAAGCGAACCGCATATGGGGGGCCGCGGGCTCGGGAGCATGCTCAAGAAGGCTGCTTCCGTCGCCAAGAAGGTTGCCGGCCCGGCAAAGAAGGCCGCCGGTGCTGTGAAGAAGGCCGCTGCCCCTGCAAAGAAGGCTGCTGCTTCCGTGAAGAAGGCCGCCGCGAAGCCGAAGGCTGCCTTGAAGAAGGCTGCTACGAAGGCAAAGAAGGCCACCCCAAAGAAGGCTGCCTCCAAACCAAAGAAGGCTGCCTCCACCCCAAAGAAGGCTGCCTCCAAACCAAAGAAGGCCGCCTCCAAGCCAAAGAAGGCTGCCTCCAAGCCAAAGAAAGCTGCTGCTAAGAAGGCGACATCCAAGGCAAAGCCCGGTGCTAAGAAGGCCGCCCCCAAGAAAGCTGGAGCCAAGGGGAAAGCCCCCGCCAAGAGCAAGGCTGGAGCCAAGAAATCTGCCTCCAAGGGATCCAAGGGCAAAGCTGCTTCAAAGAAGCCCGGCCCTAAGAAGGCGGCTCCCAAGAAAGCTGGAGCCAAGAGCAAGTCTGGAGCTAAGAAGTCTGGCTCTAAGGGCAAAGCTCCTTCAAAGAAGGCTGGTCCTAAGAAGGCGACTCCCAAGAAAGCCGGAGCTAAGGGGAAGTCGCCCGCCAAGAGCAAGTCTGGAGCCAAGAAGCCTGGTTCTAAGGGATCTAAGGGCAAGGCTCCTTCAAAGAAGGCCGGTGCTAAGAAGGCGGCCCCCAAGAAATCTGGAGCCAAGAGCAAGTCTGCAGCCAAGAAGTCTGGCTCCAAGGGATCCAAAGCTGCTTCAAAGAAGCCCGGTGCTAAGAAGGCGACTCCCAAGAAAGCCGGAGCCAAGGGGAAGTCGCCCGCCAAGAGCAAATCTGGAGCCAAGAAGCCTGGTTCTAAGGGGTCCAAGGGCAAAGCTCCTTTAAAGAAGGCCGGTGCTAAGAAGGCTGGCCCCAAGAAAGCTGGAGCTAAGGGGAAATCCGCCTCCAAGAGCAAGTCTGGAGCCAAGAAGCCTGGTTCTAAGGGGTCCAAGGGCAAAGCCCCTTCAAAGAAGGCCGGTGCTAAGAAGGCTGGCCCCAAGAAGGCTGGGGCTAAGGGAGCCAAGGGCAAAGCTTCTGGCAAGGGCAAGTCTGCTTCTAAGAAATCCGGTCCGAAGAAGGCTGGAGCTAAGAAGGCTGGAGCTAAAGGAACCAAGGGAAAGCCTTCCGGGAAGGGAAAAGCTACTTCCAAGAAAGCTGGACCCAAGAAATCTGGTTCTAAGGGAACCAAAGGCAAAGCTCCTTCTAAGAAGGCTGGCCCCAAGAAGGCTGGATCTAAGAGCAAGGCTGCTTCTAAGGGGAAACTTGGTGCTAAGAAACCTGCTGCAAAGAAATCTGGTGCCAAGGGAGCTAAGGGAAAGGCCGCTTCTAAGAAAGCTGGACCTAAGAAATCTGGAGCCAAGAAAGCAGGTTCTAAGGGATCCAAGGGAAAGACCCCCGGCAAGGGCAAGGCTGCGTCCAAGAAAGCCGGCCCCAAGAAATCTGGCTCCAAGGGAGCCAAGGGAAAGGCTCCTTCTAGAGGCAAGGCCGCTTCCAAGAAAGCCGGTGCTAAGAAAGCTGGTCACAAGGGAGCCAAGGGAAAGGCTCCTTCTAAGAAGGCTGGCCCCAAGAAGGCTGGAGCTAAGAGCAAGGCCGCTTCCAAGGGAAAACCTGGCTCCAAGAAAGCCAGCTCTAAGGGAGCTAAGGGTAAAGGTGTCTCCAAGAAGACTGGCCCTAAGAAAGCCGGAGCCAAGGGGGCCAGTCGGAAGGGTGCTTCTAAGAAACCTGGGAATTCCAAGAAAGCTGGAAACAAGGCTGGCAAAGGAGTAAAGAGCAGCAACCGCAAGAAGGCTGGAAACAAGAGCACCGGCAGCGAGAAAGCCGGAAACAAGAACGCCAACCGGAATAAGGGACAAACTGCCAAAAACGCCAAACCCGCAAAGAACAAGGGTGGCAATGACAAGAAGAACAGCAAGGGTTCCAAGAACGCCGCTCCCAGCTGCTCGATCAGACGGCGTCAGGTTATGGGCGAGGACTTGCCTCCACAGACTGCAGACAACCACAAGCAGAATGGAGAATACAACCTGAAAGAGGATGAGAATGTGCTCGCGAAAACCAAAGGCGCACAACAGATCCAAAAGGGCGACAAGGTCAACATGCCTGATATGAGCGGGTGCACTGGCGCTTATGCCTGGGATAAGGATAATAACCTCGTTGGCGCCCACCATATCTTTTCTGGCCAAGAGAACGCTCAGGGTGAAAACTTTGGCAAAAGACTTGGTCGTCAGGGAAAGACCGTCCACAAGGTGGATATCGCGGCTGAGAACGACACAAAGTACAATCAAGCCAAAACGGCAATCAATGATGCATATGAGAAGACTAAGTGGAAGGATGAACCTTCTCTACAGTTTTCTAACCGCATAGACTACCCGTCTGTTACAACAGGAGAGAAACCTGAAGATAACAAGGCAACTCCACAGGAAGGCAAGCTTTCAAGGCATAAGCTCACAGCTGAGTCCGGGACTGGACAAGTTGGTGTAAACCACTACTGGCAGGAACCTTCATGCTGAGCCGCATTCTGATGTTTTATTAATTTAAATTACTGTATCATGTCTTAGAGGAATAAATACACTACCAAGTGCATACTCTTAAGCAAGCATTGCCTTCATTTCATATTAAATTTATAGCTGACCCAAAGGCCTATTACTGTGATCACTGAACAAGGTTAGCCATCAATCTTCGACTCTCCGGCCCTTTATTTTATGAACCTATCTTATTGAGGTGCCTGTTCAATCCGAGTGGTAAAGAATGTATTCAACAAGCCAAGTCCTGCGAGCAACAAACACTCTGCAAAGGACCCTGCTTGGTCTTCTGCCTATAGAAGTCTTCTGAAAATTCCTCCAATGCCCCCAAACCTATTGTAATATCATTTGATTCCATCTGTCTCTTGTTATTGGTAGCTCGGGCATGTGCCATCCGAACGATATTCTTAATATCCCTTCCATTGACCTTGCTTTTCGAAAGAAAATCTAACATTTCTTCAGTCAACCAGGTGGGCTCCTTGCTATTACAAGCTCTAATAATGGTATTCTTCCACAATTTCCGCAGATAGTCAGTGGATAGAGGCGGGTAGTAGAGGGCAAGGTGGATGCGGGATCGAAAGGCGGGATCGATGGTCTCCACACGATTAGTAGTAAGAAACAAGATGCCCTCAAAGTATTCTAGGATTCGTAACATGACTAGTTACGTATCAGCTAAAAATCTGCTAGGTTTTGGAGGGGTTTATTGGGGGTTGCGGTAATCATCTCAACGAACGAGACTTACCCGAAACAAGTCCATTACGTTCCAATGAAAGCATGTCTCTCTGTTGTAGGAAAACATCAGCTTCATCGATAAGGACCAGAGCTCCCCACCTCTTTGTCTGCTGGAATATATCTTTGAGCACAAGCTCAACGGATTTTGGGTACCCGAGCAGATCTCCAGAACTGACAGCCATTAAAGGCCTCCGAGTATGATCCGCAATGCTCTCTTATCGCTCGATTAGATCCGAAATGGCGGACTTATTCGTTTGAATGGGCATCGCTGGAGAACATACCTGCTGTCAATGTCTTACCGACTCCCGGAGGCCCGTGGAGTAGGAAGATCAAGCCCTTGCCTTTCCCTTGAATGATATCATCGAAAGCAGTAGAGCCTTGATCGTGCTGTGATACTAGGGATAGAATCAAGTCCTTTCGCTCTTCGGGTATGCAGAGCTGCTCAAACACATTCAAATTGAAATCAATTTCTCGTATGTCATCAATATCGAAGATACCCCATTGTCGTAAGGTGAACGAAAACCCCGGAACTGAGGAGGTGCACAGCATCAATTCAACATCTGATAAATCTGGAGTTTTCTCGTTGCCAGTTTTGAGACCCTTGCGAGGACGAGACCACTGCGGCATAGAAGCTGGATTTTCCCAAAAGGTGGCAAAATCTATCATAATACGATGTTCCATCTGTTTAATGTTAGTGCAAGCATAGATATAAGGTTTTTTTACTTAAGGGCAACGCACTATTCTGTTCCAGGTGCTGGAATCCGATTGACTCTGGCTTGGATATCGCCCAACTCCAGCAGTGAAACGGTAATGAATACCACAGAGGGAGACGAACTTTTCCCCCTTCCGTAGACACTCCTCCATGATCCCTTCGGCATCGGGGTGGAACTCGAGAGGTGTCGGGTTGATGTCTTTCAAACACTTGAGCCCCTCGTATTTGTGCACGTGATGAATGAAGCTGGCATACTCATGCTTTTCTCCAGTGTAATCAATATATTCCAACTTGAGATTCCACGTCTTGACAGTGTCCCTGAAGCGCTCATCAAAAGTCGGAGTAATTGAAAGAAATCGAAACAGTCCTTTGGAAATGGGTTGCCCCTGGAAGTATTCATCCCCCTCTAAGTGAACATCGTTAAAAGCTGCATGAACCAGTGTGCCGGGCTTGAAGAAACACCAGAGATGTTTGTGTTCAATCATGGGCTCCGATTTCGGCTTCATAGTGGCTTCAAATGATGAAATTTCGGCTTTGAGAATCCGATTTATATACGCAAGAAATAAATTCATATGATCCTTAGCAGTAGGGTTAGATATACCCTCGGTGTATTGGTTTAGCTCTTCTCTATAATGGAACAAGCATCGCGGAGGATGATAGATGGTGATGTAGCCCGTGGTCTGTAAGTCCACTCCGGGGTAGGAAACGACAACCTTTCGCAAAGCTGTTCTTATATGAGTGGATCGGATCTCGATATACGTTGACTGGAGCTCCTGGTCGAAGTCGAATCGGCGAAACAGAACTAAGGCTGCTCTGTGACTTTTTCTCTTGTCAAGTTCAAGGCTAAAACTAGTGCCGACTCTCAGCATGACTTCATCGCCGTGGGAATTTTCTCGAAACTCGTAAGTGTGGAGTTCGCAATCCTCCCCATCGCTTTCGTCTGGATTGATATCAAGGGTTGCAAGTTTTTCATCCAATGTCGGGGATGCGTGCAGCGGTGTCTCATTGTTGGGCGACGTTTCTTGTCTCCTATGACGGGGTCGATAGCGGTGACGGTGTCGTCTGCGAGGAGTGATTTTTGGGTCATGAACATCTGCCATCACGGATTTGCAGAGGCCAACTTAATTGGGAGGGACTGGAACAAGCACGTGAAGAAATGATCACCCAATAAGATATTGGAATCCGAGTGGTTTAATATGGTAGTCTTGCTGGAGTAACAACAGCCAGATCGTCAGGTCGAACTTATTTATAGCTATGGAAGCCAGGCCAGTGCGAACCAGGAACCAAATGCATCTTTGGCTGAGTGTGTCAAGATACCCACCCTTACGCCTGCCAAGGCCTGATTTTGCCTTATCCAATCAAGGTGGGTGGTAGAACATGCATGTATACTACCGTCGTAGGTGAGGCGGGGGGCATTCATTGGACGTTGGGCAGCCACGGTACACGTCAGGTCACAGATGTCTCAGTTATCCAGCGAGCGAGGAAGAAAAAGTTGCAGAATGAAGTACCGTCTGCTAAATCGTGAATGTGTGAAACAGCTTACAAGGTCCCAAAAAGTTCCTCCCACCTATATAGATGGCCCTGTCCAATGCTAGCCTTCCCACTAGATTGTCTGTTCATTTAGTCATTCCAATGATGATATGCCTTGTCTAGTGGAATTGTCCCTAAATGAATGTGTATCGACCAGCCACACGGTCATGTACATTGTGGGCAGACCTTGTTCCGCCAGTTGTGCCTCAGCAGCTAGGGTTGGGCCTTTTTGGTGACCGTATCAGCACCTGCAGGAGCTGAGCCGGTGGCCACCATGGCTAATGCATGAAAGGGGGCGTCAGTAGCCGCTTCAGCCATCCAACGTTCCATTACGCTGCCGCCTTGATTGGTGGTCAGCGTCAGTTCGCGACCGGCAAGTCCCCATTGCCTGGGGACTGTGACAAAGTTTGTCAATTTAGTGTCACCCCCAGTGATCTGGTCTCCAGAAATGTCGGTCTAGATGGTTAGCTGAAGCAATTCCATGCTGGTGCTTACAGTGTACGGACCATAGTCGGTACATGGCACTGACCCGATGGAGGAGGAACATACTTTGTTGGCGTTTGTCATGGCGGGCATAAAACGAAATCCGGCCAAACGAACAGTGATAAGTCTTGTTTGATCCAAATTAAAGCCTAAGTTCACGAACACAACTGAAGAGCAGGCGTTGATGAGGATTTACTTTCTCGCTTTGCATGGAATATGGTACCCTTTTATATCGAAGACAGTGACTCTTGCCATATCATCGCCAACTTTTGGAAACTTTTGGGAGCCTTCAGAGTTAAATTACAAGAGAACTAATATAGCAGCCACATGATTCATAGAGCCCATGCTGATAATGACATTTGCAAACTTTTGGGGGCATTTGTCGAAATAATGTGAAGGTATTTGGCATAGATACACGCAACTAAGGTAAGCAGGGATTGTATAATACTGTCGAAACGAGGAAATCCTCCAGCCAGCTTCATCCCAAAAAGTGCTAGTCATGAAACTTCCGAGAGCTTTTGAGATCTTTTGTCCGGGGCGCAGTGCGAGTCCGCCATCACTGCGGCTGGATCAGCCAGTACCCTAGTGGATCTAGCTCATAACCAACGCTTGTTGGTACCTTTGCGATCTTCCGGCGCCCATGAGGTAATCTGGTTCCCCTTGGCTGTCTTACTGTGCGGCAGTAGCATTGATGAGGTGGCACCATTGGGTACCGCGGCGGGTCTTTTTGGGGTCTTTTGCGAACCTTTTCGAGGCAAACAGCCGCCTACCGATTAAAACAGGCCATAGATGGTGTATGTCGACAGGCACACGGTCACATGAAGTTTGGTGTATAAAATGGAGGTTATATCCTGTTTCGACACCCAGACTCAATCACAATCCAATCCTCCCCTCATTGTTTGCCGCGCCCCCAATCATGGATCGCAGCCCTGAGTTTCCCTTCAAATCATGGTATTGGACAAACCATGTCGAAGGTTCTCACCCTCAATTCCCCCAGCCCAGCATGAGCTATGGGGGACCATCTACAAATTACACAGGCAGCGTGCTAGATTTTACCAGTTATTCACTTCAGCAAGGTATAGATAGCCCTAGAGGTGTATCAGGTGGTGACAGACCCACGGAGGGTGCCTCTACTCTGTCCCATGCCCCTACATTAGCACCCATGCTGCCCCCTCTAGACAACAACATCGGTGAGACCTCAAATCAAGGCTCCCGACGAAACAAGTACGGTCGCCTTGACTGGGATGGCCACCGCGATGTCTTGAAGAAGTATTACTTGACGGAGAATAAAACTCTCCCGGAAACGATGGAGATAATGAAATCTCAATATGGTTTCGAGGCATCGTAAGTCAAACCTAGCTACCATCCCCGCCTCTCCCATCCTTGTTGTTGAGTAGATTTAGAAAAAAACTATACAAAGACCGTTTTCGAGCTTGGAATTGGAACAAGAACTTGCCTACCCAAATTGCAGAGTTCATGGATGCAAAGCTCAAGCAGAGGCAGGAAACCGGCAGCCAAACCATCTTTGTGTATGGAGAAAGGACGTGGGATAGGTCTCGTGTTGAGTCTACGTTGTCTCGTAGCAAACGCCGACGTACTGCCAATGAACCAATTGGTAAGCATCATGGGGAGTGCATTTGTGGCATCTTATCACTGACTTCATCTTTCCCACGAATATAGACATGAGCACCCCTGCAGGAGTAAAATATGAGACGCCACGTGAAGTGCGTGACTCCTCCTCTGAGTCAACCGATTCAGAGGATTCCCAGAATGATATAACAGTATCCCAGCAAGGAAACCCAAGTCCCAGTCTGACTGTGGTCGATGACGATCAAGCGCCTTCGCTGACATGGAACGGCCATACAAGATCGCAGGTTCTCCATCTTTTGGACGACGCTCGCGGATTTTCTATGGAGGGAGAAGCCGAAGCTGCTGAACAGACATATATACGTGCTCTCGAGGGAACAAGACACCTTATTGGCGTTATCCATAAAGAATCCAATAAAGTTGCATATGAGCTGGCCAATTTCTATGCCCAAGCAGGCTCACACAAAGAAGCGGATGCAATTTTGGATGAAGTGACTCGACTTCATTTTAAAAAACTAGGCCCGGAGCACAAGAGAACACAACAGCACGTCATTGACTGTGTGGAGCTCCTGAATACCTGGAACCGTCAAGACGACGCCCTTGGACTCATGGCTCACTCTAAAGAGATCCTAGAGTCTCGCCAAGCTGGCCCACGACGCCGCCGCAATAGACGGAACAAGAATAATTCCAAAGGGAAGACCCTGGCCATCATGCCAGCAGCATCCAACGGCTCAGTTGATCTTCCGGGTCGCATTCCCGCCTCCGCCAGCGGTGAGGATATTCAGCATCTCCTTGAAGTGGCACATTCGCATGTTGATTCTCATGACGAGCATGTTGAAACCCTACTCTTGGGTCTGATTGATCATTGCGAGAAGGATTTACCAAAACTCTTTCGCGAGTACCTGCAAGCCCATGGGGAATTGTTGGGCCTTTATGGGAAGCTACGAACTGCCGAGCTCCACAAGGCTGCTTTCGAGACCGCCCGGATAGTACTGTCTCGAGTTTGGGTCGAGTACGTCTGGGATGAGAAGAAGTATGAGTCCTTTGAAATAATAGAGGCATACTTGCAAGTTGTGACCAATATGGTCAAGTGTGGATACAAGGGCATGGCCAGACGCCTCTTTCATGAGGCAGCTGAGAAGGCAGAAGTCCTCTATGATCCTACTGACGAACGGTGTATCTGGATCAGTATCACGATTGGGTTAGTGTATCAAACGTATCATGGCTGGGATGAAGCAGAGGAATGGTTCGACCGCGCATATGCAGGCGCTCTAGGAAGTAAATGGGGAGAAGATGATGGGATCGTTAGATCGTTGGAGACTGCGCGGGGGAAGAAGCACTTTTCCTACCTTACTGATGAGGGCCGACCTTTCAAGACTGTTTTTGGTGTTTCGGGACTCACTATTCGTCCTAAGAGGCTGCATCTGGAGTGAGAGTCATATGGAAGGATTAACAAAGCATTTCAATCTGAGTTAGGTAGTTGACACTTTAAAGTAGTGGGTTGAAAATTGAAGGAATCGTCCGAAACGTAAAGCATACGCAGTACGTGGTATTTTTATGTTAAAATCATGCATTGTCGGGTCGGAGGCTGGAGCCAATAAATCCGCCCGAGAAGCCAGTGGGCAAGGCGAGTCGAGGCTCTGCCCTTCTTGAAGGGTCGACATTATGGAGGAACTATATGTACTAGGCCAGTAATATTAATAGCTATCTTGTATCTGATCTGATTATTCTCCCTTTTACTCAACCCTCCTAACTGGGCATTAGAATAGCAGGGACTGCAAAGGTGTTTCTATCTCAACTTTCCAACAGGCCACGATATTAATAGAGAATAGTCTATAACAATAATCAGTTTTTAAGTAATTATTAGATACCTAGTGTTGTGTATTACTACACAATAGGAAGCATTATTATGTGACTAACTGCCGCAATAATTCAATCGATGTAACTTTGCAGTCCCTGTTTTTGTAACAGCCACTTGCCTCCACAGTGGCCAAGTTCTCCTTATGTTTCTTATTTTATATCTAATAACGGCATCTATTAGCGAGTCAGGGGCTGAACCTGGTCGAATCGAAGTTATGTCTGCCTTGTATGTTTGTAAGTCGAGTGACGGGCGGTTGGACAGTGTTGTTCAATCTAATTGTTCAGATGTTTGGATGAACCAGGAGTGACCGGTGTTAATGATGTCTGTATATCGCTTGTGATCGTAGATTAAACTGCCCCGATTCCAAAGCATTCCCATAGACGAAGATGTCACAACCAAGCTACTAAACAAGGAGTCGGTTCAGCTAATTTGAAGCGAACAGAAATTCTTGGTCTCATGGTATAAATTCACCTTATGTTGTTCAAATCATGCCAAGCTCTTGCCCTAGCATCACTCAGCAAAATAGGTATAATAATCTACTAATTCTAGTTATAGACTGAAAAATAAATAGCTTAATATTTTAAGGTCTTAATTTTATTATTACCTACTTACTAACTTAAGAAAAAGTAATTTAATTAATCTTCCTTTAAAATAGAAAATTAATAATTATATTTAATAAAAATCTAATTTAGAGTTTATATCTTTTATTTTTTAATAAAAAAAATATAAAAGAACTAATTAATAATTAAAAAGATATTCTTTATTATATTCTAATCTTAAATAATTAATTAGCTAATATATAGATCTTGGAAGCTACTAAGCGATCATATTATAGCCAAGATAATGAGGAATTTCCAGGTCGGTGGAGTTAGCCTAATCACTTGGGCTACAAGCGACAAGGTATCTAAGAGTCAAGCCACTACGTTTCCTTCGAGCCAACCGTGTCGACCCAGGCGTGCTCGCCGCCCGAACAGGTGGAAGTCGTGCACATTTGTTCGGGTTACATTGGCCCGCAATGATAAATCATAGCTATCGGAAAGTCAGACCTCTAGAGGAATGCTTGACCAATCGTCATACCAGCTCTCGCTACCCTCTTTGCTTGGCCAAATCCGACGAAATACTTCCATCTCCTTCGGCCTCGGGCCCTTGGACCCTACTGTTCTCCTGTGTGCATCTTTGGCCTCCCTCTCGGCTCGGCCCAGCTCCTTGATGTGTATAATTTCCTTGTCGTCTCGAGGAACGCGTTCGATCAGCCACGAGCGGCTCATGTGGGTGTAGAGATCCTCGGCAATGTGGATCTGCCCAGTTCCGAACTGGCCAGCACCTGTCGTCCACAGCTTCAGAGACTCCAACCGTTTCCCGCGGGTAGTCTCCCAGATCGATCGGGCCAGTGTCTCGTCCACCGCACAGTTCATCAGGAGGTCCCGCAGGATGCCCCGCTTGTAGCCAAACTGCCCGGTCCTGCTGTCCTCATCGTCAAAGGGGGGGTTATAAGCGCTATCTCGCTTGACCCGCCACTCGGAACAATCCAAGGTAAGGAGGAGCGACCGTAGACGCTCCATTTTGGCGAGGCTTCTGTAAATATCAACCTCGGCCGCGCTGGACTTTAGACGCTTGACCGGGATGGCTAGGTCTTCCAAGGCTGGGCACTCGGTTTGGATTTGCAGGATGTGTTCCTTGGTGAGTACCATAGGGATTTCTTCCCTATTTCGATCTCCGCGGAATTCGCGCTCTCGCGGATACAGCATGAGCTCTTTCAATGTCCGTCCGTGTCGATGCAGGATGGCGTCCAGAATTTTGGGCTCAAGTGGGCCAGATACCGATAGCTGCCTGAGGGGCTCAAACGCTGAAAAAAAGGCAGCAGCATCATCGCCGTACTCGGGTCTCACGCCATCCGGATCATTACGTTCCAGACAGACGCAAAGGGTCTTTAATCGAGGGAAGGAGTGATTTTGCGTAATCAAGCGCATCATCTCACCATCAATACCCCTATCGCTCGGTCCCCCGATGGTCAGGCGATGCAGAGAGCCAAAGTCTGTGAACTTGGCCCAAGTCTGGATGTATTCTGGCTCCCAAAAATATTCCGTTGACCGTAAAAGGGATAGAGAGGTCAAAGACCCAGCCATCCCGGAGACATAGCCCGGAAGACCTTTCCACTGGGCTCGGTCGTGGGCGAACCTGCGCCCGCGGTACGGGAAGCAATTTATCATGGTGACTTCCTTGAGGTTCGGTGCAAGACCAGCAACGAGCTCCATCGTCGCCTCTTGGTTGAAATCATCATCGCCTTCTGAATCTCGACGAACACATATAACTGTGGTACTATATAGGCATGGAGATGTAGCTAGAGCCATTTCGTAAGGATGCGGAGTGTCCCATGTTAGAGTCCGTAGTCGGAGCGTCATGTGGTACAGCTTGCACTTGGGGTGGTATTTATGTAGCGCATATAAAAGGCTAGGCGGGAATTGATCCAGGCAATTATAGACCAGCTTTTCTAAAGATGGGAGTGTTCTGATAAAGTTGACAACTGGGGCCCATGCTGTATCCTCGTCGGAATCCTCCTCAATGAGAGGCTCATCATAGGCGAAATAGCCACCAGAATAGATTGTCTCTTGGCGGGGTACAATTTCGTTACCGCGAAGGTCAGTCCACCAGCCTAGATTGTCGGTGTTCGTCATACCAAGATCGTCTTTTTGTGTCTTGGCATCCAGAAACCCTTGAAGGCTGATGGAGTGGACGTGGCGGGCGGAGTTAGTATGAGAGAGAGTCTTGATGAGACTCTTAATATCGTGCTGTAATGCTTCGCGAGTGCAAATTTTGAGATTGATTTGATGAAGGATGAATAAAGTACTTGCTTGATGACAAGCTTTGCTTGTTAGACTGAATGTGTAGACACTTGGTCGATATGAGTCAGCAAGGTAACCCGCGATGTTTTGCAATACTTCGAGTGGCAGTCCACACAGGCCCGGGCCTGCTTTGGTCGAGTTCATTGCTATCATTCGACACAAAATGATCACAGTGATAAGGGTGGTACGATGGAGAGAGCTGTGGGTTGAAAAATAGAAATGGTCGCAAAAGTCCCAGGCAACGACAACCGAGAAGCCAACGCGCCAACTAACTAACCCGACGCTAAGTAATCTCGAGGCACCGGTTAAACCAATGAATTTCCCATCGCAAGAAGAGAGGCGGAGAAGAAAGGCGGAGAAGATGAGATTGAAGCAGGAGAGAGACAGAATGGCGACAGAGAAAGGCGACAGCTAAAGGAAATGGCCTTGGATTCAGAGGAAAGGGCTGCTGCTAAGAGGAAAACCGGTGCCAAGGATACCAAGTGAAAGGCTAGTTCCAAGAAAGCTGGTACTAAGAAGATCAGATTCGGGAGAGCAGCAGAGGCGGCTGGTGGACAAGGCCGTACCAAGTGTGACCAGAAAACCTACAGCAATCGGCTATGGGAACGGGCTTATCAACATAAACTTCAGTTGACACCTTGGACCAATCTTTGAATGCCAGACCGCTATTTACCAGCATCCATGGCGCATGTAGAACGTAGCCATTACATAGACGTGTTATTTAAAAGCTGTTATGACGCGAGAGCCAAAACCTGGCTCATAGAAACCCTACTGCTACTGCCTACGAGAAAGTTGTGGCATCTAGCCTTGGTTCTGTGTCCTCCAGGGTTCCAAGACCGCCAGATCCGTCCAGAATTCGACTAACTTCCCGTCTTGGATCTGGACGATCCGGTCTTTCCTAAGGCGTACCATCTCCCGTACTTTACCTACTCTATGTGTGATAATCACGGCCGTGTATCCCCTAGAAGCGAGTCCGTCCTCGATGATTTCGTAGATATTCTGCTCAGCCTCGAAGTTCACGGATGCAGTGAACTCATCCAGTAATACCAGCCGAGCTCCCGTCGCCCGTAGTGCTTCGGCTTTAGCCAGCGGAGAGGATCCCAAGGCAAGGCTCCTTCCAACCCAAAACCTGGCAGCAACAAAACGGGTGCCAAGGAACCTAGGGGCAACGCGGCTTCTAGGAAGCCTAGCTCTGAGGAGGTCGGTTTAAGGAAGGCTAGATAGAGCCAAGGGGACCAAGCGAAAAGATGCTTCCAAGAAATCTAGAAAAAAAGCTAGCAGAGGCACAGAGACAAAGAAGATTGGTCCTAAGAGGAGCAACAACGTGAAAGAAAAGAGTGTTGGTGGCACGAAGGTCGGCAAGGATGCCGAGAAGGCCGGCCTAAGCTGCTCGATCGAACGACACCAGTTCAATGGGGAGGATTTGCTTCCACAGAAGAAAGCCGACAAAGAAGATGGGGGAAAACGAACGATAAGAGGATAATCCTGTGCTCGTGAGTGCTATCCGCGATGGCGACAAGGTGACTATGCCTGGCATGAGCGAATGCACAGGTGTCCATGCCTAGAGTCAGGATGGAAATCCCATCGGCGGGTGCCATATTTTGCGAGCAATGAGGTTACCGGGGCAGGCGATTCGGCGGAGACCTAAGCCAGATTGGCGGTGTTTCCGAGATCGACGTCTAATAATACATACTTCAGAGAGAATACAGTATGCTGTCACTCTATGTCGCTTTATACTGCTGACTTTCTTTATTCATCGTGGGAAGGTAGTCCGTTGATAACCAACTGTTCCATTGGGTGTCTCATTTCTCCCGTCACCCACTTGGCTGGGGTGGCTGAGCATCTGTTAACACATAGCGAGGTATGTGGCTCGTCCTATTTCCAAAGCATCTCGTTCTCGTCCCAGCTGTCGGGCCTTGATTGCTATCATCTCATGGCCGGAGCGACGACTCGATCGAAGTGCTTGATTGTCTCAGAGGCTATGTCAACTCGGAAACCATCGCCGAACGATACGCGGAATTCATGGCCAGTGACACACAAATTTGATCGAGAAGGCTCTGGCGAAATCTGCGAGAGATAACATGTCGACTGTGATCAACTATGAAAATCAGCGACGCGAATCGTGAGGTTTAGCCGGCGTGTTGAACAGTTGCCAAAAGGCAAGGACGTATGATACACCAAAGAAGAGCAGCCAGCGACGACAAAAATTCTCTTGTTTGGCAACCGAATCAAGTGCCCGGATCGCTAGATTTTTGCCAGTCAATCCTCGTTCAACAAAGATTGGCAATGTTTGACGATGTTTGAGAAAGAACCATCGTGAACGAAGCCTCGAGTGGCTTCGTGTGAAGCAAAGTGGGCTCGACACATACAGATTTAGCGAGAGTCGGTCCCGAAATGCATTCGTTCGCACTACTAAACTAAATCAATCTCGGCTCTGCCTTTCTAATTTTATTAATCGCCTAAGTGCTTACGTCGACTCCTGCCGGTAGTGTCCCGTTACCCACCGGGTATGGTCATTTTTACGCGCGATTAGGAGAGCGATTAAAGTTTGGTGTGGTGTCTTACTGCGGCACATTCACATCACATCATGTCATGAAACTGAGATTTACCTAGATGCATGGGCGAGGAAAGACTCCAACCACATTGGGAACTCGAGAGCGACCCAGGGTTGGGGTTGTTGGGCGATCCCTGGGTGAGGGATGAGGAGGCTAACATGGGACGTGCTTGGTGCGTCCCTATTCCTGGCAGGGTCCAAAGATATTAGTTGAACCAAAGTCCAAATGAAGAGGCTTATCAGGCAAGGTTACTAACAGAGGCATCCGTTTGTGGTAACTACCATGCAGGCCGTAAACGAGGAGGCCTCTTGCTGCATCGCTCAAGTCAGCACCACCAGCAGAAATGACCAATTGATGATGCACAGCAGGGACGACCTGGCAAGTTGGCCAGGGTGAAGAGGCAAAAGAAGAAAGTGAAAGAAATGAGACAGTTCCATTCCATTCGAGAGATCGGTTCACGCGCGCGAAGAGTTGAGACACAACCAAGCCGCCGGTTTGGTATCTCTCATTCGCTTATACAGGCTCTCATATTTTGAAGATATCTTGACTGCAGGATGATGTCGTGAATTGTCGCTCGCACTCTCCGTCAAGCGACTGAGACCAGAGCAAGCCCGCGTAAGCAGGCTGCCGGCATGTTACCCAAACAGGCAGTTGGGACAGTAAGCCATTGAGGCTGCTACTCTATTTCTGGTGGGTGGGGAGAAGAATAAGCAGTGGGAGGAAGCATAATACTAGACTATTATAATGGAGCCACGCTGCTTAGTTGGGGCAGCCCTGGACAGATTCTAATTGGGGGCGTTGAAACGTGCCGGCATGAGGTGCGTGCTGCTACCAGCAGGGATCAGAAGGTTGGAGGTGGTTGGGCCAAGCCTTTCCTTTTTTTTTCAGTATACGCCAGTCTGTCAATGACCCATTTGCCTGTTTAATCCCCCGGTGCAGCAGACTGAAGCCCCTCAGCTCTGGGCTTGGGGCCTCGCTGGCTTAGTAAACTCCCATTCTGCATCCCCAGATCGAGACGGGAAATGGACAGCAGGTGCCGAAATTAGGACCTTGGATTATTTTAGACTCTCAACCCAAAGACCTGTCCCACCTGCTGTCTTGTCTCGAGGTGCCGTTGGCCTACATGGACGTAATCTCTAAGCAGACAGGCTTCCATGTTGTTGGTTCGCTCTGGTCTGGCTGGTGTCCTGTTGGTCGCTTCTATTTCCACCGGCCTCGCAGCGGTGAGGGCCAGCACTGCCTCGGCATGAGCAGACTGGTCTAGTAGAATGGCCGCATGCGATAGTGATGCGATTGATATGCGGTTGGCAGCGTGTCTGCAGACAGCAGGTCACCGTACCAACAGCACCCAGCCAACATGGATGGCCAGACCGACATCGTTTACGCACTTTGGGCAAGATACCCCCCGTAGCTAATCTCCAAATGGATGGATCTTGCATCCGAGCGTGCATACGGCGCTGACGGTCCCCATGTCGCCTGGCTGCCGTTGGCTGGCCAGAGTAAGCACGCAAAAGCTGCTGCGCCTTGTGGTCAAGACTCAAGCTCAAGCAAGGCCTGCTCAACCCCCTGCCCAGGCGACAAGGGCCTGGTTCCGAACCCGTGCGCAAGCTGGACCTTATTACTGCTCATCGGTGGAGTCTGTGCCTCTAAGCTGGCAGCAGCTTGCAGGCCATGCTGCTATGTAAGGCTGAAACCATGTTCATAGTCTATTAATGGCAACTGCGAGAAATAACTCCCAGGGCGGACCGAAGCCTATATGAGGGGAGCTCTCCTCCACCATCTGTTCTGCTTTCCTTCTCTCCTCACCACTCATCACGAGCCTCATCAATCATCTTCCTTTTTCTTCTCTTTTCTCTTTTCTTTTTTTCCTTTTTTCCTTTTTTCTCTATTCTTTTCTCTTCTTGAGCAAGGTCTCTTCTTCAAATAACCTCTATTTTTTTTCTTCATCTCTTGTTCTCTTTCGCAGCATTTTCTTGTTTTGCCCACGAGAAGCATTTCATTTCGGAAAAAAGAAAAGTCAAAAGAAATTCCCGGTTCAGTCGTCGATTATCATTCAAATCAGTCAAAATGTCTCGCCCTCTCTACCACAACCCCCTCGATGACCAGTACTACCTCCCCTTCGGCAAGAAGGCCAACTGTACTCTGGAGGTCTGCCCCATCGAGACCACCATCTACAAGTATAACCCCGACAAGGCCGTCAACCTGGCTTTTACTGTCATCTTTGGCTTGATCATGTTTGGACACATCTACCTCGGAATCCGGTGGAAGACTTGGGGCTACATGACCAGCATGATTCTCGGCTGTCTCCTTGAGATTGCCGGATACGGCTGCCGTGTGGTGTTGCACGCCAACCCCTTCAAGTTCCTCCCCTTCGTTGTCCAGACCGTCGCCCTGACCATCGCCCCCATCTTCTACACTGCTGGCATCTACGTCACCCTGTCTGCGAGCATCTCCCACTTCGCTCCTGACATGACCCGACTCAAGCCTTCAGTCTGGGTTTGGATCTTCCTTCCTGCTGATATCCTCTGCCTCGTCCTCCAGGGTGCTGGTGGTGCCCTCTCCGTCACTGCTACTTCCGTGGACACCGGCAAGATTGGTAACAAGGTCAGCCAGGCTGGTCTGAGCTTGCAGCTTGTCGTCCTCGTTGGCTTCATGGCCGCCTTCGCCGACTTCTTCATCCGCTTTTTCATGTCCGGCCGTCTCCCCAAGATCGAGTGGCGCCTCAAGGCTTTCGTTGCCGGTATCGGTTTCTCCGTCACCATCATCCTTGCCCGTTGCGCCTTCCGTGTCTACGAGCTCAAGGAGGGATACAGCGGTGAGGCCATCACTCACGAGGTCCCCTTCATCATCGCTGAGGGTGTCTTCATGATTCTCGGTGCTGCCGCTCTCTTCTGGGGCCACCCTGGTCTGGCCATCAAGCCCGACTACATCCAGTACCCTGCCAAGTCCACTGGATCCGACAGCGACGACTCCTCTTACCCGACCATCGGCAAGGGCACTTACCCCCCCATGAGCCAGCCCGCCTACCACGCCTCCACCTACCCTCCTGTCCAGACCGAGAGGACCACCTACCAGCCTCCCGCTCACTACTCGGTTCCTGTTCAGCAGCAGGCTCCCGCCTATCCTCCTGCTCGCAACAGCGACAGGCCCTCATACCCCCCTGTCAACGACAGGCCTTCCTACCCTCCCGCCCAGCACACCCGACCTGCCTACAACAACCACACTGGCCAGCGTCCTGTCATCAGCAAGCCCCAGATGCAGTACCGACCTGCCCACGTCTAAGAGCTGAGTCGAGCGGGTGGCGATCTTTGGGGTAACGGATTGGTGGAGCAAACAGACATGGGAAACATTGCATGACCAGGGATGGAAACGGTCAGCGGTTGTGATGATTTGATATTTTGACATTTTCGGCGTACTTTTTTCTGGGCTTCTTCTTTTTAAACTTTTTCACTTCTTCTTTTTTTCTACTTCTCTTATTTTTCTTCTTCTTTTCAGATAGAAATATCATGACCCCTTTTCTTCTTCAACAACTTGCTCTCTCTCTCTCTCTCTTGTGACTTGTAAATCTTTATGCCTCAAGTGACTGGTAATCCAAAGTAGCTACTCTCAATGCAGCCTGCGCCAAAAGCATGATAGGCAGGTCAAACCCCAAGGGCACGGGCGTAAGCAGAATGGCAAGCAAGGATTTTCGTAATACGCCGCTCAACGGCGGGTACTAAGGGTGGGTAGCTGGTCCTGGAGGAAGGATGTGAGGTAATCTCGGCTAGGAGCGCGCGCGCCGATGCCCAAGTCTCTCGCCAGAGTTCACCCCATGAACTCGCCACCAATCTCGTATTATGGTGACACATGAAAGCTTGGACGGCTGGTAGCCCAGTTGTGTGCGCCCTTCTCATTTACCGCACATGGAATCTGAGGTAAAAAGAGGTCGTGTCTGACAATCCCTCAGTCCAACTCATTACATGAGAATGCCAAGTAGTACGCGTATCTAAAAATAGCAGTGGGAAGTGTTGGACTGGATATAGCAGCTACCCTACACTTGCTCTTATGATTGACCATGAGGCCACATCTACACGGTGGACTAGAATTAACATGACTTATACTCATTGCGCCTTGTAGTGAATTATTTGGCGGTGTTTAACCATTTTTGTTGATATTTGTACGTCAAGCGTGGGGTATCTAGTTATGACAATGCTGTATATTGTGTTGCATGTTAGACGTGGAGAACCAACAGATGATTGTGCGGGCCACATATTCGCAGATTTGCTCTACGTGTCCTATGGATTTTGGAGTCTATGACTACCCAGATGCTTCTAAGGCTAGTTGGGAATTATAGGACACATATCTGGTTCGAATCACGGCTCCTCCCGAAAGTTTGTGTCACACCTACATCTGCAACTACCACGAAGCTGTAAACTTACGTCCCGGCGGCTTCGCCCAAGGTGGCTAGGGCCTGATAAGGATAAGACCCTGGCGGGGCGGGGCAGCGACCAAGTACGGGGTAAGTTACAGGTAGCCAACCAGCCTGTTGCCCATTACCTAAACTACAGCAAGGCACATGTGACGTCTATCTACGACTGATCTACTGCAGCATCCGGCGGCACACTTTGATCTGATCCCTCCATGTTCAATCCAGTCATCCTCAACCCCCGGAGCATCGCCCATACCACGCAGCGAGCATCATTGACTGTATCTCGACGTCTCCGCCACCGATTCCGACCCTTTTTGGACTCATCAACCCCGCTCGTGCACAGAGCAAGCTTCAGCGCTGCCACCATCACCATGGCTCCCAACCCAACAGCTCTCGACTTTGTCGATTTCGTCAATGCCTCTCCAACTCGTGAGTTTTAACCCCCACAGCCCATTCGATATACTGATATGGCACGGTAGACTGACAATCTTGCCCAAACTCTAGCCTACCACGCCGTCTACTCTGCTTCCCAACGACTCGAAAAGGTCGGCTTCCAGCTGATCAAGGAGCGAGAGTCTTGGGCGTCGACCCTCCGCCCCGGCGGCAAGTACTACCTCACACGCAACGGCTCTTCCATCGTTGCATTCACAATCGGCCGAAAGTGGCGCCCTGGAAACCCCGTCGCCATTGTCGGCGCCCACACCGACTCTCCCTGCCTGCGGGTCAAGCCCGTCTCCAAGAAGGCCGCCAACGGCTTCCTCCAGATCGGCGTTGAGACGTATGGCGGCGGCATCTGGCACTCGTGGTTCGACCGTGACCTCAGTCTGGCTGGCCGCGTGCTCGTCCGCGACGGCGACAACTTTGTCCAGAAGCTCGTCAAGGTTGACAAGCCGCTCATCCGGATCCCGACCCTCGCCATCCACCTTCACCGCCAGTCCAACTTCGACCCCAACAAGGAAACCGAGCTGTTCCCCATCACTGGCCTTGCGGCCGCAGAGCTGAACAAGGGCGCTGCCAAGCCTGCCGATGAGAGCGGGGAGTCGAAGGGGGATGAGGCTGAGGCTGAGGCGGACCCCGAGTTCCAGCCCCTCAAGCAGATGAGCGAGCGCCACCACCCCAGGGTCCTCGACGTTGTTGCCTCCGAGCTCGGCGTTGATGCCGCCGCCATCGCTGATTTCGAGCTGGTCCTCTACGACACCCAAAAGTCGGTCATTGGAGGCATCAACGACGAGTTCGTCTTCTCGCCCCGCCTCGACAACCTGGGCATGACCTACTGCTCCGTCGAGGGGCTCATCTCCTCCCTCAAGGACGAGTCGTCCCTGGACAACGACTCCACCATCCGTCTGACTGTCTGCTTCGACCACGAGGAGATTGGTTCCCAGTCCGCCCAGGGCGCCCACTCCAACCTCCTCCCCTCGGTGCTGCGCCGCCTCTCCGTCCTCCCGGGCAACCGGGACGCCCACAGCGACCAGAGCTACGACCACGTCAACCACGAGGGCGACGAGGCCACCGCCTTCGAGCAGACCCTGTCCCGCTCGTTCCTCGTCTCGGCCGACATGGCCCACTCCGTCCACCCCAACTACGCCGGCAAGTACGAGTCATCCCACCAGCCCACCATCAACAGCGGCACCGTCATCAAGATCAACGCCAACCAGCGCTACGCCACCAACTCGCCCGGCATCGTCCTCCTGCAGGAGTGCGCCCGCTCCGCCGGCGTCCCGCTCCAGCTCTTCGTCGTGCGCAACGACTCCCCCTGCGGCAGCACCATCGGCCCCGGCCTCGCCGCCGCCCTCGGCATGCGCACCCTCGACCTTGGCAACCCCCAGCTGAGCATGCACAGCATCCGCGAGACCGGCGGCACCGAGGACGTGGGCTACGCCATCAAGCTCTTCTCCGACTTCTTCGAGAACTACGGAACCCTGGAGCCTAGAATTCTGGTGGACTAGATGGGCGTGCGTTGGATGGAGTTTTGTGGCCGAGGAGTTTTGATGGGAACAATCCTGGACATTTGAGTTTCAAAGCACGATGTAGATGTGTTGATGATGTTTTGAAGTGATGAGGTTGAAAAAGAGATGCAATATGGACAGGTTATGAACGGATTGAACGCAATTGGTGTAGATGATGAGCGCACACATACATATCCACGTCACATATTCAGATGGAATTGATGGGTATAAAGTATCTGTAAATGTAGGCACATCACTATCTCTGGAATGTCCTGATTACTCTTGCATGCTCGATCCGCTGCTCCAATAACGCCCAAATAATTTCCCACAGTGGCTCCGTGACGAGTTGAAAAAGACCCGGTGCATGATGTCCTAAAAGTATCAAATCCCGTTGGAAAACCCCATTCCATGACATCCAACCAGTAAACCCTGACAAGAAGTGAAAGAAAAAAGAAAAGAAAACCCACAGCCGCTACACGTCCGAATTGCTCCTCGAGAGACTCAGTAACCCGTCCGCCAGGTCCGTCAGACTACCCTCTGTGCTCTGCAGCGCCGACATGGCGTACTTGGACGGGGAAAGGCGCGGCAGCTCCGGCACCGCATCATCGCCCTCCTGCCCCTCCTCCCCCTCATCGTTGTCGCTCGAGTCCTCTTCAGCACCGTGACTTTGCTCGCTGGGCATCTTCTGCTGGCCGTGTGAGATCTTGCCCCAGGCCCGCGGCTGCTGCTGCCTCGCGTCGCCCTTGCCCCCCTGTGCAGACACATTCCTCTCCTCGTGGCCGCCGGCATCGTTCGTCTCGGCCTTCCTCGCCCGCGGCGGCAGCGGCATCCTCCGCAGGTTGGCGAGCGGAATGGACGTCTGCCCCGTGCGGAACTTGTAGCTGGCGAGGCCCAGCCTCAGGCGGAGGATCTCGGCTTTCTACCGAACAGTGTCAGTCAAAACTCATTATCCCCATCATCCCTCCCCCCCACCACCACCATGGTGGGCTGCATTGAAACTTCCAATTCCGTTCTCTCGTGCACAGGGGCGGCGGAACTAACCTCCATAGCCTGCTGCCTCGTCATGACCCGCGGCGCCGGCGACGCCTCCGGCTCAGTGGCCCACGAGGAATCGTTGGCGGACGTGTCGAATATGGAGCTCGCCTCTGGGCTCTGGCTCCTCGAGAGATCGTCCTGCGCGACCTGTGGCATATGAACAATTAGCCTTCCCGTAGACAAACTAGAACGCACAGCTGCCGACCATGTATACAAGATAGTATGGAAGTCGAGAGTTGGAAAAGACGTGTGGCGGGGATGGAGCCGGGACCATGATGTAGATGAAATACATACCTCGAAACACGCCCTCTTCTTGGGGAGGGGGCTCAGTGCGGCGGCCATTGGTTCGTCCAGAGGTCGTTTCCTCTCCTTGACGGGGCTCTTGGTCGTGTTCTTGAGTTGGTGAAGCTTCGGGGAGGCGAGCGCGTTCGCGTCCAGGGCGGCGAGGGCGCGTCTCTTGGTGGGTGATTTTGTGATGGTCTCCATTTTGGGCGGCCTGCAGGTCGTCACGGGCCGTGACAATGGGGGGACGCCTTTTCGTGTGGTAGCAAGGGGGGTAAGGGGAAGATGATTGGCCTGCGAAGAGCGGGAGAGGGGAGAGATCCGTTCGAATGCAACAAAATGGCGAGATGTGAGGTTCGTCGGGACAGACAGCCTAGGTAGCTCTCGACTGGCTGTAGCGGTGGCTTTAGCTGTACTATTGAAGCTAACACACGAACTTCAGTGTCCTGTACTCTCCAATGACGCGCGAGATTGGAAAGCCCGAGACACGAGAACCAAGGGAAGGAAGCCGCGTGCAGTGAGATGCAGGTCAGTAATGGTTCATGCATTGGACGAGGTCAATTAGAGAGGTCATATCCACTAGTCGTCAACTCAACGCGTGTAGGCAAAGTGGACACATGGGAGGCATGCGTTTCAACCCATGTCGCTCTGGAGAACTTGTGTACATACAATGAGCACAGTATTTACAAATTTCCTCTTCAGGTTAGCCTGGTCCCTGAGCGCAGAGTCGGCGGTGCAGATTGGATGGAGCAGGCGGGACGTGGGTCCCTTCCCTTCCCTTCCCTGATGTGTTGTGCGACGTGCGGCGCCTGTGTCTGGCTGGGGGGACGCCCGCGTTTTTCGCACCCGCGTCTGGTGCATGTACCTAATAATACCTCTACCCAGCACCTACAGACAGTGGATAGAGCCAGTCCACGCTAATCGGTGTTGGTACTAGCGCTTCCGCACGGAACGCTACGCTACTGCTTCTACGCACTACGTAATTCGTTGGCGCATCGCACACACACACCACACGAGAGGCTTGGTTGTGGCTTGACGGTAACCACAATGCAGGAACAGAACCAGCCCTCTTTGACCCCGGCTTTTCTGCGTTCCCCAGAGCCAGCCCACCCTATAGATATACATCATAATGACAACAACCTCAGCTTTCGGCTGCATGACGCTAGTTGAGTTGACACCACTGCTTTATTCACCTATGACCGGGGCAAGAAGGGGTTCTCCTAGCACTTTACTAATGCATGCGTTTAAGACATGAGACGTGGGCACAGGTCAAGAATTGCCAATATCGGTTGAGGAAACACATAATTTTGACGCTGGTTATCTGGAAACCGGCTTTGTCTCTTCCGCTGCAATAATAAAAAAACACCATAGCTAAGCATATAATCTCAAGCGTCCCTCCCATCCCTTGCTCGCCGCCAAAAAAAGCCGAAGAGCACCGCCTCGGCTGCCGTTGCTCTTCGCCTTGGCTGGGTATCAATTGTTTCACGCCGTCTCCGCCTTTTGGTGCCCGTGATCGCGCAATTCCATAGAGCTTGCCAGGTAGAAGCACCTTGTAAATCAAGTCATCCGAGATATATAACCACACAACCTTCCATCCACTTTCCGCTGCGCAAGGAAAAAATTGCCCAGGACAATATTGGCACATCGCCATTTCATGTAAAACAAGAAAGAACTCGAAAAAGGGAAACGCAAAAACAAGAAGAAACAGGTGATAGCATCAAAAGCAATAGAAAAAGCCTGGAGCCGAGCACCCGCGGCTTAGTCCCCTGCACCAAAGAAAAACGCAAAACACGAGAGAAAAATCCACAAAAAGAGAAAAACCGAAAACAAGACCGCCGAGCCGAGAAGGTCCCTCCCCATCCGTTCCTTTAATAATCAAATAACGTCATTACCACACAGTTGCCATATCCCTGGGTTAAATGCAAATCGCCAAGTCGAAAATGAGCAAGTAGCAGAAAAGAGAAACCCTCGTTTTTTGACTCCCTGTGCCCGCCCCGCCAAATCATGTAAACCTGCGTGTTTGAGTCGATGGTCGCGTGAAAACCAATTGTGTATGCATGTCGTCAACACCACTTGTAGAGTATGTATCTTGGGACCTCTGGAAAACTCCGGTCCACAAGCCAAATGTGAAATCATAAATAACCCTGCGCTCTCTAACTTTCAAAAAAGGGAAAGATTGAGAGAGGGAGAGAGAAAGAGAAAAAAAAAGTTATTAAAAAAAAAGGGAATTGCACCACGAGGCTGTAATCCAAAGGATGAAATCAATTCCCCTTGTTATTGTATAACACACAGCTCTTTACAGAGTGTCCATGGCATATAGCTTGGTGTCTAGTTGGAACGGTTTTGAGAAATCAATCTTCACATCGTCCCAGTCTGGTACATCCATGCCTGATGAATTGAACAAAAGTGAGGGATCCATGGTAGGTACCTCACTTTCGCCGAAACCAGCGAAACCGCCTTGCAGGGTGGCATTGTCCATGTCAAAGATGAGGTCTGGATCAATGTTTTGCCAGTGAACATCGATGTCGAGTGTGGCGCCTTCTGAGATGTCGCTGTTGGGCTCGCTGGCTCCACTGTCCTTGCTGGACTCGGGGGTATCATTGGGGGTCAATGTGCGGAACGCGGTGGGGTCCATAATCACGCTGTTCAGCCCATTCTCCAAGCCTAGGCTGTTCATCAAAGCCTGGGAATCCATGCTTACATTCGCCCATGGATCAACCGGCTTCAAATCTCCCTTGCCAAGCACCTTATTGGCACTTGCCGACCTCTTCATAGCCGTACTATCCTGGGACAGCGGGGTCCCGACCGCAAGATATCCGGGCGTTTGTCCCTGTTTGGAGGAGGTCAAACTCATCTCTGGCGCCGCGGCCGGCTTCTGCTCCTTCTTTACGCTCCCATCAGGCTCGAGACCCAGAGCAAGAGCGAGATTCTCCTTTACGAACCTCATAGGATCTTCCTTGGGTTTGATGTGTTCCTCCTCCATGTGCCTCCGGAGCGCTTCTTCCGTGGCGTAGCCAGTGACTGATGTCTCACATTCGGGCTCTTTGCAAACGAGAATAGGTTTGGCGGGTTCTGGTTGTCGCTGAGGTGCATTTTGAGTCCGAGGAGGCGAGGTCTTGACAGTTTGGGGAGAGGCAGATGCATTCGAATCATGGGTTTGCTGATACTTCGCTTTCTTGTTGGGAGGAATCGTCAGATTCATGTTGACCGGGCTCTGTGCGTTTGCATAAATGGGATTGCCAGCAGCACCCTGGAATGGGAATGGAGGCGCTGTGGTTGTGGTTGGAGCGCTGGGGGGAATATCCTGTTTCGAATGCTTCTGAGCTCGGAGGGCCTGCGAGTTCTTTGCTAGATTGGCGGCGTTCAGGGGCGCAGGACCCGACTGCTGGGCCTGCTGTTGAAGACCCTGTGTCTGCTGTTGCGCGTTCATCTGTTGTTGAGGTTGTTGACCTTGTTGTGGCACTCCTGGTTTCACGCGGCCAAAGACACTGTTCGCGAGATCCTTTGCCATGCTCTCCAGCAACGAACGGGCTTGGTCGAGCTCGGTGCAATTGATGCTGAGAATCTCCTTGATGCTGGTCATCTTCTCCCCATCAGCGAACTGTTTCACGATGCGCAGTCGGGTTCTGAAGAATTGTTTCGCCCGTTCGTCATCCTGTGTCAGTTCGTACCATCGCTTCAAACCGCGGCCGATCTTGCTCATGTCCACAACAATGCGTTTGAGCTTGTTCGAAGTCTCAGCGTGCTCTTCGGGACTCATGGGTATATCGGGCATCGTCTCCTGGGCATGTGCTCGGAGCTCTACTTGTCCAATTACTTTGAGGCGAGCCAGGTTCTCCGGAACCTGGAATTGCGTGGCCTGACCTGCAGGCTGCGGTGCGGGCTGAGTCCCTGGTGCCGGCCTCTTTCGCTGTGCCATGTCATCGGCAGATGGCTGTGCCATGGTCTTAGAACCTTGAGACTGCGATGGTCTGCGAGGCTGCTGCTGCGGTGGCATATGCTGGTTTGGAGCAGCTATAATCGTCAGATCGTCACTGCTGGGCCGCTTCAAATTCTTTCCAGTTGTAGCGGGGGAGGTTGAGACAGGAGCAGCGCCATTGTTGCCGCGGTTGTTGATCATTTGATTCTGGCCGGCGCCTTGTGGCTTTTGCTCGTTGTTAACCTGCATTGGAGCACCTTGGCCCATGGGGCCGCGCTGACCAGGCTGAGCCATGGGCTGTTGCATTGGAGGCTGCGGAGTGGGCATAGTTGACATTCCGACCTGTTGGCCAGGTACCTGGTTTTGGGCTTGTTGTGCGACTCTCAATGCATGCTGCTGCTGCTGTTGCGTCAAGACCTTTCGTTGCTTCATATTAATTAGCATGGTACGAAGCTTGTCGTCAGACATGTGTGCGAGCTGTGGCTTAGTGTTGCGCACTGTTGCAAGGTCTGCCGCAGTGACTGTGAAGGGCGGCATATTCGCGCCAACTGGTTGTCGTTGCTGCATGCCACCCGGCTGGAACTGTTGGTTCATCATTTGCCCTGCTGCATTCGGCACCCCTGGGTTCATGCCGGCCATTTGCCCCTGCTGAGCTGCTGCTCTCCTCTGAATAACTTGCTGGAACTGCCTCCATTGCCACTGTGACAACTCAGCCTTCACCTGCTGGGGGAGGGATGTATTATGCTGGCTCAGCCAGATCTTGAGATCCTTCCACTTCTTCACCTCGGGGGGAAGTTGGCCAAACTGGCTTATCTGATTGATGGCTTGGGCAGGAAGATCCATAGAGTCCATCAACGCCCCCTGGGCATTCGGATTAGGCATCCGACCTTGGGCTTGATTTTGGTTCCCAAGCTGTTGCATACCCTGCGGGCCAGGGGTAGTCATGTTCGGGGGCATTTGGCCGAGCTGACCCGGCTGGCGGTTCGCCATGGCGTTTTGATTCTGGTTCTGCTGTGGGGTTCCATTCATCTGCTCCCGACGTGCCATCTGCCAGCTTCGCATAATTTCCTGAACCTTCTCTGCAGGCATCTCGCTCACCTGTTGTCGGTGTTCTGGCGACATGTTTGCAAGCATGGCATTGAATGCTGGGTTGGGAGCCTGCTGAAGGCCTTGGTTGAATTGTTGGTTGCCGAATTGAGCGTTTCCTTGACCCATGGCCTGGTTGCCCATTGTATTCATCCCAGATGGTGGCCGGGAAACAGGGGTGTTGAGAGTGCCAACACCT